GTCACTCTACCGTGTTCATGCTATGGCATTTATGGCAAACAAGTATCTACCACCAAAACAATAATGTTTCAGGGAATGTGCAATAGTAGATTTTACAATATATAATATGCTAAATCCTATTGGGATGAGCTTTTGGATTTAAGAGAAGCATTTTTAATAACGACTGATTTTTACAATACTTCCTATCGAAGTGGTATTCAGTGCTTGTAAGTTGGGGTTTTGTTTGTTTTTTTCAAATTCAGAAAACCATACAAACTGTCACCGTCAAATGTCCTCCACATTAGTCGCCTCTCTTACGTACAGGTAATGCAGTGATATACTGCAGTTCTATTGATTCCCCGCATAAACACATGTAGTTACATATTGATAAAAAAATTGGTTGGCAAATGTTAACTAAAAATCTGAAGACGATTTAATTGCGTTGAGTACTCACCTAAAAACGGCGCAGTTTTCTTGTCAAGCGTGAAGTTACTAAAATATTTAAGTATGGCGTCAATAATTACTTTCTTCAGTAGGAACTTTCTTAATACAGTAACGTTTCGAAAATATGTAATTGACACAGATAAAAAAAAAATCGTTGTATACCCGAAAATATCGGTTTTCTGTAATACTCATGAAAAATGTGTGGAACATGAATTTATTCGAATACACTAAAACATATCACCAGTACTCTGGGTAAAATAACAGCCAGGATTACGTGAGGTCATTGCTTGTTTAAATGCTAAGACGTGTCGTGTAATCCAGGGGTGTATTTTATATAGAGGCTGTATGTAGACTCATACCAGCGTCGTTGGTAATGAAAGTGTGCAGCCAAATATAATGGGTCTGGGTAAAACGCTTATCACACTTAACATACACTAACCCTAGAGGAGATGATACTACGTGCTTTCTGATACAAAATTCACCAAATAATTACCTTACTACCAACCAATATTGTGTTACATTTTTGTGTGGTTCATGATTGCCACAAGATTGCATGATATATTTGTTTATTGTGAATATGTGTGTGTAAGTTTCACAATAAATGCGGTTTTATTTTATTGTTTCACAATACATTGCAAATTTACAAATATTTGTATTAACATAGACAAAAAATACTTACCAGCACCCGTCGGTGTTCTTTATATATACATTCTGTTACTTTACCAGGGTTCTCTATCGGAGTTGTCTCGAACTACGCTTAAGAATAACTACGGTAATGATAGTTATTTTACCAACTATATACATAATTATCTGTGATAATTTAAGATACGTTCTTCGTGTTTAACACGTGTCCACGGTGTCTTGCATCACTGGTGAATGACATATATATAACAGCAGGTTTAAAGACGAGTTCAATCGCGATATAAGAAATGCTTCACCGAAGGTTTTCTTCTTCTGGAATGTCATGGTTTTGTGTTTTGTACTAATACATTCTCAGCTCTTCGGCTGTCTAAGCACTTGCATTTCGACTTAAATAGTCTTTCGTTCAATAATATATAAATGCACCGGGTATATACTTCAATGAAAAAACCCATTGTATTCTGCCCGTAAATTGCTGTTTGGGAGGAGTCATGCTTTGCTTATAATCGATAAGTACACATCAACAGATGCAAAAACAATCTTGATAGTCTTGATTTTTTGCGGTACTTGTATAATATTTCATACTTGGTTAATTTTTTTAATAATCACATGATGATTTTGATATGGTTTGAAGTACATAGTTATCAAAAAATATTTCAAAATGATCATTATTTGGCTCCTATATACCGAGGTAAAATATTGATCGACGAGAGGATATGTTTACATTCCTCTGTTAGGTCAAAGAAACCACGAGTTAGATTAAACAGTTACTGTTGCCTCTCGTACAGCTCTCGAGTCCATACTCCCAAGGCTGAATTCACAATTTGTATAATAAGCAAACTGTAAGATAAAGTTTGAATTACTATGATGATTGAAATATAGCTACGCTGCATATTTATTCTGAATTCATAGAAAACACCATTTTAATAGAGACGCATTATTATTTATGCATTTTTTTTCTCTTATTCAATGTTTGCACTCTTAACTATTATGGCTATTCTTGTTTAGCACTATATAGGCACACATGTATTGACACTGTATTATGTCTTAAACCCGCTTATCTCTAACCCGCGTGTAGGTACAGTAGGTGCAAGGGACATACATATGGCCCATCTAAACGCTGGTCTGGTCTGGTTCCTCGGTCTGGTCCGGTGGAATTTTATGACTTTGATTATCCTGTCTGCTGTGGTTTGACTGTCATGAGTCTTGGCCTAATCCAGGTCACAAGTTCATGTTGAAGCAAAGTTAGCGAATAAACTAAGCAACATTTTGTTTATAGAAAAAATATAAAGGGAAACGGTTAAGTTGAAAAAATATTTATACAATGACTTTCAATTGACATAATGACATTTATTGGACATCGAAACTCTTTTTTGTCTAATCTTGTTTTATCAGTCTAGTTTCAAACTATACATTTGCTAAGCAAGTGGGTCGATTTTTCATCAAAAGCAACCCCGAGCTAACAACAATTTTAACAAAACTGCATATCACCATGCCTGGGCTCAAATGGTTACCTTGCAAAACTCTCTAAATGTATTTTTTTCATTATTATATACAATGTAATTTGGATATCAAAATCACAGTTCAACGATAAGAATTTATTTATAGTACATAATATTTTACACAAATTATATTTTAATATATTGTATTTTAAAATCAAATAATTCTTATCTCGCAAGCATTGTAAACATTTAACACAAATGTAAAATTTATCTATAAGTGAATAAAACAAACAATATCTCTAGATGAAGGTAAGATTCATTCCAAATAATCTTTGTTAATGGTCAAAGATTCACGTCAACGCTCTTCGTTCACCTGATACATAAGCTTATGAAATATAAGGCATAAATTCATGGTATTCGACAAGTAGATTTTCAGTATGCATACACGAGCTTGACCCATACTTAATGCCTCATTGGTTGAAAGTGTAAACGTCTTCAAACTACCACATTAAAAGAATGGTTTGGTTTAGTATTATTTAACGTCACATCAACAGCTATGGTCATTTAATCACAACCTTCCCTGTATGCAAGATGCATGCGTGTAGTGTACGCGTGTGTTTTCGGAGGCTGCTTCGTGTTTGTCTCCTTGTGATAGCGCGGAACTGATGCAGATTTTATAGTGATACCTCACTGAAACACACTGCCGAAGACACCCAGCGGGACACCCCACCCGGTCACATTATACTGACAACAGGCGAACTAGTCGTCCTACTCCTACATTGCTGAGCGTTAGACAGGAGTAGAAACTACCTTTTTTACAGACTTTGGTATGTCTCCACCAGGGGACAGAACCCAAAGCCTTCCTCACAGGAGCGAACGCTCAACTAAAGGCCAAAAGTGAGGCATTGTCAAGGGAGACATTAGGAAAAAGAAAGTTGTTTAGAAAGTAGAGAAAAGATAAGATCCCAAATGTAGTCGCCTCTTACGATCATGCAATGGGGGCAGCAGGTACAATTCTTACGCCCTGCCTCCCACATTCTGCAGGGGGTTTCCATTTAAGATGCGTTTTACAACAAGCAGCAGGTTATTGCAGGTTTTCTCAAGCACCGACCTGCAGGGGTGTTAGGATATCGTACTTAAACATTACACACACACCTAATATACATCGCCTCGCTCTGCTCGACCATAATCGTAATATGAGCCTCCCATATTTATTATGGTGTTTTTTTGGTTTTTTAGCGAATCAATTGCTTGCTTATTTTTATATGCGTGATTACAAAAACATTGTTCACACGATAAAATAACAAAAGGTTACAAAGGACTGAATATAAACCATTCGTAATAACAAAAATGATAATAAATAGTAAGAACAAGGGATTTTAAGAATAAGCAGATTTAAACCATTAGTTTCAGCACTATTTCATGGTTTTATGATATAGCCATCGTTTTCTCAAATTAGTGCAAGCATCACATTTCCTTATCTGTTGTTCAGAAATTCATCACAATTGATTAAGTCCACACAGCTCAGAGTAAAGTGCAAATCGGAGTCTGAAGCAGGACAGGCGTCAGCCACTGTAGCATTGCCACTCATAGTAACATCACTCCAGTGCTTGCTTGTGAGCAACTTAAGTGGGTCAAGTGAAGGATATAGACCAAAACGTGTGTAGTGTTAAAAATAGAGATGTGTAAAATGTCACCGAGTAAAATAGAGACGGGGGTTTGGAGGTTGGGGCCCTCACACGACAGAAACAATATATAGACAAGGCTTAAAGTGTTGTGCTCCTGGTTTATTAACTTTCTGTAAAGCAAAAATGCGATAATTTGAAAATAAACAAGAGACCGGATGGAAATTGCAAAAACTGAAAATCAACTGAAATCAATCATCAGACACGTATTGGACTTATAACAACAGACCAAGGATAACAGACCAAGGACACTACTCTAGAACAATAATACCAGAGTTTAGACCAATCACACAATCTTAAGAGTCTGGACGAATACTAAAAGAGTCTAGAACTATAACACCATAGTTAGGACCACTAACACCAGAGTCTAGACCAATAGCACAAGAGGTAAGACCAATAACACCAGAGCTTTGACCAATAACATCAGAATTGAGACCAATAACACCTGAGTCTAAACCAATAACACCTGAGTCTAAACAAATAACACCAAATTTAAGACCTATAACAACAGTCTAAACCAATAACAAAGGTTAGACGAATAACACCAGAGTTTAGCCCAATAATAAAAGCGTCTAGACAAATAACACCAAAGTTTAAACCTACAACACCAGAGTTTAGACCAATAACACCAGATTTTTTACCAATCACATCCGTCTTTACCAATAACACCAGAATTTATACCAATAACACCAGAGTCTTTACCAATAACACAGGACCAAGATAACAGACCAAAAGAGTAGACAAATAATATAAGACCAAAGACACGAGAGATAAGAGATGGTGATTTGTCAGTCTATGAGTTAGTACGTGCCACCACAATCCCGCCGCACACGTACGCCGTGTGCTTTCGTGACATGGTAACACGCACAGCTGTGTGCAGTGGACACGGCAAAGGACAAGCTAATGTAGCAACGACGTAACCTAGTAAATGGCGTTGATTCCATTTAAGGCGAAATATTACACGTCTGTATCAGGATGATATAATAGTCCATCGATTTTATGGGGTTTTTGTGTGTGTGTGAATGTTCAGTATTAGAGAATACACGATCGCAGGAAACCAGCTATAATTAGCCACGTCATCATTCGGGACCTCTCGGATTTATAGGAATCAAGTAAGGTACATAGTGATTGTTCGGAGGCATGAATCTTGTTCTATCATTACATTTGCTGATATTGCGATTGGTTATAACGTCTTTGCGAGCAGAATATTTACAACACACGAACCGTACTACCTATGTCGATACGTTCCTACAGAGGCGGGCCCCGGGACTCCGGGCCCCAAAGAAACTTTGGTGGGCCAAGGAGCTGACGCCCGACTTTCACGTCGCTGGCAGGTTGTCCGAACGACAGATCAAATACGCAGCTGACGGAGGATTTAAAAGCATTGTGTCCTTGTTTCATGATGATGAACCATCCCAAATCGGCGATGAGTATCTGCCCACTAGTGCCGAAGCTGCAGAGATCGCACAACTAGCCGGTCTAGATTATCGAGTTGTACTGGAGTCTGATAATTGCGATTGGGCATCAGTAGTAGCCGTCGAGAAAATATCTGCCATTATTCCAACATTAAAAAAGCCTATTCTCCTCCATTGTAATCGAGCTTACACGATAGCATTCACGACCATGATGTACTTAGCCAACGCTTCAAAACACGACCAAAATTTCACACCTCAAGTCAACACAGAAAACATATTCAAGATGGCCGCCGTCATGGGCTTAGATTTTACTATGGACTTCACGCTAGAGACTGTAGCGAAAATCAACAGCGAAACGATTCCGGAGAATTTACCTCAACCAAATGTGGTGCCAGAGGAATGGTATGACTACTGGATGGCCCACCCCGTGTATCAGAACTGGTTCACTGCGGGACAGATCCGCCAAAGTCACCTGGAAAATATACAAATGGCCGGCTTCATCCACGTTATCAACATGAGAATGGGAGTTGATGACGAAAACGGAAATCCTTCCCAAGAGCAGGTAACTCTCATCAACGTTAAAGATGGCACACCGACGTACGGAAACAAAGAGACTGGACCGCGACAAAAACCGGACACTTTGAAGAATATTGTCATTGACTCCACAAAGAACAATTCTTTTGTGACCAAGAATTCTGACGTCAATTTCGAATCGCGTAATTCAGGAGAGTTTGGAGACGAGATTGGCTATAACGAAGACCGGGAGAGACAAGTTCTAGAAAAGGCGGGTTTCCGATACTATCATATGCCAGTCCGTAAGTGCTATATCATACTGGTATTCTGTTCCTTTTGTATTTTATCACAGACATACACACTATACATCTCTGCTCTTACAGTATGTGGAAAAAATACACAAATTCGTTTATTGCAATAAAGAAATTAGGACAATTTAATAGATTGTTTTTACAATATTTCAAACTTGACATAAAGTTATAAAAAGTTTTGGAAAAATATTATTTACATTTCCATCCCTTTTGTCATACCAGTTAAGAAATAAGGTCCAGTGCTGACTCAAAATGTTGCTCTTTGTTGAAGATTTTTTGCCATGTTGAAGTTAATTACGCCATATTTGGTCGTAAGTAACAATCCTGCTTGGGGATTTTTTTCTGTAATTAATGTGTTAAAGTATGATTTACAAACATGTTTTGACTATGATTGTACACCAAAACTTGTTGGATTTTTTTTATATAAGTCTAACCAATAGCACGAGTTTAGTTGATAGATGGAATATGTCGCATTTTCTTTTCACTGTCCTACATATCCGACACACGATGACACATTTCACCGGCACTTGTGATTTTGAGACTGTTTTACGTGTGAGACCACTTAGATGGTTCGTTAGATTTACTTTTTGAGATTATTCAAATGTTCGTGATTAGTTGAGCTTAACTGTCTTTTAGATGTTTACTTTTGTACACCTTGTATCCCCTTGTCATTGATTACGCTTGAGTTTAAAAATATATATATGCCATTAATGAACCTGTGGTCGTGACAAGCTTGCACGCTTTATTTAATTAAAAACAAAATTGAACATTTGTCGATTTGATTTTTAAAAATCTTAAGTAAAACATTTTCATGAAGCCGCGTAATAACCTTTAAAAGGCCTTAAAGGTACCGTAATTCTCCTATAGAAACCAAAATATAAAGCTAAGGATAAGATACTGCACTGTTTTAAGTGGTAAATGCCTTCCTTGCTAGGTGACAAAAGGAGTAGGAGGAACATTTATAAACAGTTGGTCATGTTTATTTCGTCTTTGTACAATTGAAACGCATGTGAGCTGCATGGTAATATTTCAGAAGATAAATATTTCTGGAAATTCAGGACTGTCCTACTGATCACGACCTTTGTATTACTAAACTCTCATGTAATGCCTTACATTGCTGACACGCACGAAGAGAAGTAACTTTCACCCAAAATGATATTTCAGATATTTCAGTCTTAATAATTCTGAAATATTTATAGTAAATTCTTTTTCGTCATATATCCTCGGGTGTTGTACTTGCGTTTCATTGGCTACAGACTCTACTTGCACTCGTGTCTGTAATCCGAAAATAAAATCTACCCAAGAAAACAATGACGTTATCCATGGCCCCATCTCATTTTCTTAGCCTAGTGATCCGGACTTGATTCGTTACAAATATTGGAATGTGCCATGTCCCCGGCTGGGCATCAAAATGTACAGGCTTATCCCATCATCATTCATTTGATCTAATTATACCACGTTTTGTGTATTTGCAGTGTCTGGTGGAAAGTTTAGCCCAGAGTTATTCGGGAAATACAAGGACAAGCTATTGGAGATCGGGAGAACGGGAGAGCCTGTCCTCGTCCATTGTGCTAGCGCCCACAGAGTCGGTAAGTAGACTACTACATACCTGTCCACAGCGGTCAGTTGTCTATAGAGGTGGGCTATACGGTTTTAGATACGTTTCCGATAATACGTAATCTATCGATGGTTGACGTCATTTTGTTTGGGAATACGAAATTTACCAAACAAGAAACCTTTTAATGACATACCTGGTTTTGTGTTCGTGCTAGGTAGTTAATGCAATATATTTACGATTGCCACTTCCCACCCTTTTCGTCAATCCAGAGAATATTTGATGATTTATATGTATCACGCTTAAGCACTGTCGTATTCTCTCTTAATTTGGTTTATTTAGGTTTGATTTGTATTTTTCGAAGAAGAAACTATATCTGAATTTGAACTTCTTTTCACCCCCTCCATGTTATTCGATTAGTATTGTGATCTGGACCCAATGAACAAGTTATTTATAGAAGTCGCCTTTCTGTAGAAGTCACCTGTCTGTAGTGGTACTCATTCTGTTAAGTTCTCCTGTTACATGGAGTAGAGGTGACCTGATTGTAAAGGTCACCTGTCTGTAAAGGTCACATGACAGTAGAGGTCACCTGTTTGTAAAGTTCACCTGTTTGTAGCTTTCACCTGTCTGTAAAGGTCACCTGTCTGTAGGGGTCACCTGTCTGTAAAGGTCACCTGTCTGTAGGGGTCACCTGTGTGTATAGGTCACCTGTCTGTAAAGGTACAACCTGTCTGTAGAGTTCACCTGTCAGCAGGGGTCCGCTGCATGTAGTGGACCCCTGTTGGAAGAGGACACCGTTCATTTTGTAGAGGTTGCTATCTTTAAAGGTCACCTGTTTGTACAGGTGACCTGTCAGCAGGGGATTCACCTGTCTGTAGAGGACACCATTCATTTTGTAGAGGTTGCTATCTGTAAAGATCGCCTGTTGGTAGAGGTTATCTGTTACTAGAGGTCGTAATATATAGAGGTCACTTGTTTGTACATTTTACATCAGTGAAAGATGAAAGTTAAATGAATGAAAAGGAAGACCATATATACAGGTGTTTGAAGGACAAGGAATACTACATCCAGAGCATACGTCACTCTGGTCTTAAGACATTTAACCTATTTGCATCTACAGCCTTAATCGTAACGACAGGTTAACAATTTTATAGATGTCACCCTAAGGTAACATGTCTGTGGAAGTCAGCTTAAGGACAGATAAACCAATGTGTGAATGTTACCTCAAGATAGATATGTATACGTCACAGCCTGCCAGGATAGGTAATCCAAATAACCAATAAACCAGGATATAGAGGTCCTTTCCGGATAACTTGTTTTGCAGGTTCACTCTAAGCACGTTAAAACCTGTATAAAGCGGTCAATTTATATACTGGCCTCTTTGTTAATGCGATAAACGTACCACAACCTATTTGTACGTTATAATTTGTCTTGTTGTATTACTGGACAGATTGTCGTCTTTCCTTTGGTTTCAGCGTCGTTTCAGTTCCTTTTGTCGTCTTTCTTTTGATTTTGGTGACTTGTCAGTTCCTGTTGTTGTCTTTCCTTTTGTTTTGGTGTCTCCTAGATTCCTGTTGTTGTATTTCCTTTTGTTTTCGGTTTCTCTTCAATTTCTGTATTATTATTAGTATGCCGACATTGTGTTCCGATTTTATAATTGTGGGTTGATGTTTTGGTATTTTATTTCTCTATTTTACATAAAATATCATTTCTGTGATACATAACTCCACTTCAACACTGTTTCGCCTGTTTATTTTCCACAGCTTACATGACTGTGCTGGCCGCCGCACTACAGTACAACAAAGACCTAGACTGGGCTCTACAGAGGACGCGCGAGCTCGGATTCGTCGTGAGCCCCACCGAGCACAAGGACGTTTACCTTATGTACGCTGCCTGGTTAGACTCCAACAAGTTCAACTCTACTAAAGACGAACTTTGATCATCGTCGTAAAAAATCCTGATCGATTTGTAGTTAATATGAATTGAATGTGTGGTCTATCTTGATACTTTTGTAAATATATGAACTTTATTTTGATACAAAAAACGTAAAAATAATCCCAGCTACAAAACAAAATGGTAATTTTTTAATTTCATTGAATTTACTTTGACCTAATGAAAATTAAGATTAAGAATGTGTAATTTCTAAATAAAAACAAAAGAAAATATAGTTTAATTTTAATAAAAATACAATTTTCAATTGTTTTTATTTGAAAGATTTCAATTATTTTCATAATATTATAAATTATGGTTATCTGAACGTGAACTTGTTGACCCCTACATTTGTTAGTATTAATCTGTATATCAATAAATATCTGTAAAGATTTCATTCCACGCTAGCGTCAAACAGTAAACAACTACCCATTTTAACTTAAGTTATTCGTTTTCCAGCCGTTTCAAATTCCATATCGTTATAACATCGGAACAGAAAACAATATTTGACAGAGTTTTTATACAGAAACTGTATTTTTGATTTTATATAACTACATAATGTTATTGTTTTAATTACTGTTCAATGAATCCCCATTTATTGTTAAACAGTGTGAATATGTCTCACTACCCTAGATCTAATGCAGAATGTCTCTTGGTGTTGAAAGTTTAGTGAACTGGATGTGTGGACTGGAAGAGAGAAGTATATGACCCGAAAGTATAACCTTTACGTTTGAAATGCGTTGTTTCTTTCATTAAGTTAGAATGTGTGTTGAATATAAAACTTATAAATTATACGCCATTTTTCCGGGTGCTGTTGTAATCTTGTTTTATCAGTATATTTAACTAAAAATTCAAAATGTCTTAAAACCTATATGCAATATACATTAACTTGATGGTTTCTGTGTGCTTCAAAATACAAAAGAAAATGTCTCATATACAGTCAATGGTATAAGGGTATAACGTCACATTCTTCACGTATATGCATAGTTTAGACAGAAAAAACAAAGGTCACAAATCAACTACATTAATTTTCATGTTATTTTTTTTCATTTTGTTTTATTTTTCACTTCTTTTGAGCTGTTAATTATCATGTTTCTGTCCTTTTAGCGAGAAATGCGAAATATATACAGTACAATGTAAATGTACGAGTTATCCCCCTTCTTTCGTGATTCTTTCCAAGTCATGTATGAAAGTTGATTTGTTTGTTAAAATGTTATCGTAATAAAAATAAAAATTATATCTAATGTTAAAGAAAAATAATAAAGCTGGATATGTATTAAATACAATTTCAAATAGATTTTAACTGTCTTTGCATTTGAATTTTCCTAGTAACTGTCGCTGTATATACATACGCACGACATACATAAATTATACATATATAAAACGTGTATCGCTCATATAAAGGTGAAAAAAATGAGACTCGTCGTAGCAATTATTGATACTGACATCATAACGCACTCAAACACAAACACTTGTTCGTGGTTTTAAATACCGTGATTTTTTTTTTAATACAATATGCCGAAATTGCATTGATATGGCATGTAGGACAATCAAACAAGACTTGTACACAAACAGAAAAACACGTCAAATCAAAGAGGATTCACATAAATCACTCACTATGTTCCTCAACGCTTAAACGGTCATACTCTTGTGACCTTCTCCCCTACCCAATCAGCATGACATCAATAATATTATCTGTATTTGACACAATATTGATCCGAGTATTAAATGAAAGGTGATTGACTAAAATCACAACTTATTTTACAACATTGTGTATATATTTCCAATTCACTGTTCATTTTAAAATTTTCCGACGTTATAAGCCCTTTCCAACTTAACTAATAGAGAAGAACATCTTCATTAGAGAATGTCCCCTCCTGTATATAATCACTACACTTCCGGCGTACTGAACTCTCCAGTATACATTCACCGTAGAGTATAGTAGCAGAACAATGAAGTCGTATGACTTATTTATACAGGTATCCAGATATCACAGGTTTCAGATTTGACAGGTTACAGCTTTTGCTCGTAAGTCGTTGCCTTGTGCGAACTGTTCAGCACTTGATCGATTTATGAGGGTAGAAGAACGACGCCTTGTCTGTCACAAAATAGGTTGGTGGCTTGGATGTATACTCTTGAGGAAACGTGTTATGGTCAACAGTGTAGAGCGCATCAGAACCCATCTGAGAAGTCAAACATCTTAGTCCGGACACTGCCGTTGCCGAAAATGTATCGAACAAGGATTTGTTTTGATAAACTGTTAATGAATTAGTAAGGAACTACATTCTAAATTTCATAATCCAGCCACCACTTCCGGTTGTCTCAATACTAGAATCAAGCCTTGTTAATCCAGCCACCACTTCCGGTTGTCTCACTACTAGAATCAAGCCTTGTTAGTCCAGCCACCACTTCCGGTTATGTTACTACTAGAATCAAGCCTTGTTAATCCAGCCAACAATTCCGGTTGTCTCACTATTATAATCTAGCCTTGTTAATCCAGCCAACACTTCCGGTTGTCTCACTACTAGAATCAAGCCTTGTTAATTCAGCTACCACTAGTCTGATTTCCCAATTATCCAGTCTCATTAATCCAACCACCACTTGTTAAGCTGTCCAAATATCCAGTTTCGTTATTCAAGCCGCCGCTAATCCGGTTGCGGTCGTTTTAATATCCAGCCGATGTTTTTTTTATAATTAGGGGACAGGTTGACCAAAGGAAAATACAAAATCTTTCATTTTAATCTCATTCGGTACAACACCCGCCAACAACAATCTTCTACGAAATATAGCAGACACCTGAAGAAATCACACACTTGTAACGTTGTAAACATCTCACCATTTATAGAACATGTTAATTCGGTGAATGTGTTATGTTCGTTTTCAAAATCACACTTACATTCCCCGAGCTATCTCTGCAAATAATTTGATCCGGTATCCTTGTTTAATTCGCCTTGGTGAGAGTTATCAATCACAATGATCAACCTTTATGTTTTTTTCTGATTTCCGGCTGACTTCACTTTTCACAAATTCGTTCTTTAATTCCTCGATGGAATAGAAATACACATCCATGCAACATCACATTGGCACACTGATCCCAGAGAGTGGACCCAGGCGTACTGATCCCAGAGGGTGATACCCAAGAGAGTGTTCATTGTCAATGACACCTACTTAGGATTCAGTATGGAGGAGGAGGTTCGTTGTCCTCAGAGGAGGGCTCCAAATCCTCATCCTCATCATAATCCTGAATGAGGATTTCGTAACGAGGGGGCGGGTCGTATTTGTCCGCGTCATATTGATTAGCCGCTCGTCGGAGCTGAACAGGGTCCATTGCGCATGCCTCAATGTTGACAATTGTCTGAAGTATGATGTCATTGGATGTCGAAACACTGTCACGATGTCTGTGTTGAGTGTCATACTCATCTACAACACGAGAATGAGGAATGAGATGAATATATCTTTATCTATCTAAAATCTTACAAAATCCTATCAGAACTATAAGTAACAACTAAGGCCGAAATATAATCAATGTTGTTTGATATTTCTTGTCAAAACATATATGAAAATCAAAGAGATATTGATAAATTTACACGATTTAACTATAGTTCAAGCAAGTTGTGGTTATGGTCTGAATACTGAATGAAATGCAGTAAAGATGAAATAAAATATAATAATCAAAAATAATAATTCCGGAATATTCTCCGGCATCCGGGTCCCTTTGTGTATACTTTAACGTGTACAGTATATTGGCAAACCTAAACGGTAATAAAGAAAGAAGATGCATGTACATGTAGCCTAAAATGTGTATTTGTGCTTGTCGAGATACCGAACTGGTTTTGTTGTAGGATTAAACGTTCTAGTAACTGTGAAGTCATTTAAGGACATGGTTCCATGTTTGTAATGTATGTGTGCCGAAGGAAGGATGTGTTGGTGTAATCATCTCCTAGCGACTGCGCGGATCTGATATCGACTTCAGAGCGCTATCCCTATGAATTACCATCATGAAGGCAGCCAGCAGAATATCCCTCCCGGTCACATCATACTGACAACGGGTGAACCAGTTGTTGCCGTTACCTTTAATGCTGAACGTTAGACAGGGAATAACAACTACCATTTTAAGGAATTTGGAATGTCCCGGCCTTGGGACAGATCCCATTGTGTTCTTAACTTGGACGAACGGACAAAAATAAGATTTGCCAAGGAAGGCGCTTTGAAGCAAAAAATGTGATCTGAAGTAGAGAGAACCTGTGATTGGCCCAAATATTGCAATGGGCGCAATACATTTATATTGGTCGCATTTGTGTCTCCAAGCAGAGGGTACAAAAACAAAACCCAATTATACAGGGGGTCCCACATGCAATGTGTAAATATGTTTCCGGGGCTCAAAACAACTACCTATTTTAACTAAAGACATCACAATTGTCTTTATAGAACATGGTTTAATATTGAACGGTGTCGTTGACTAAATGTTTACATACACCTTACAATGGAAAGGTAACGCTGAAAGGCAGATTTTAATTTGGCATAACTCACATTATAGAATTAATCACTGACATGGTGAATTATACACACTGTAAGTATGTCTGAGTTGCATAGCTGATTGTTGAACACTTTGTGTAAATAACACGTGTTGTTCAGCGCACTAAGAGCATTGTCATAACTCATTTGGGCGCTATGTAATTAATATATAGGATTTTCATCTCTGTGTTACGGTGAACCTCCAATGGCATGACCACCATTCGAGCAGGGTCATTTTAAAGCTTCTCATACCGGTTCTAATAACGTGAGTCAGCCAAACATGTTAGTGACGTTAGGCTGTTCCAGGAATCTCGTTTGCACTGACAACACATACTCTTCCAATATCGAAAATATAAGGAAATACATAGAATAAATATATTTAGATCAACAATAACTATACAATTTAGGATGTAATGTATTTAATTCATTTTTTAATGTTCATACCGGAACGAACATTGAAACAAAAAGCTTTTCAATCCTTATCCTAATGGTACACGTTGTTTTATCCAGGATTTGTTCCCATCATGATCACAGGGACCTGATAATTTGTTACAGCTATTCTTGGAACTAAAGAAATGTGTTCAGAATAATTTTACACTTTTTTAGGGGTTAAGATTAATTTTCGGTAAAAGCGTCCTATATGCACTTAAAATGAGTTCTCCTTCCGCGGACATGATCTCCGTTTCCTCCAAAAACACGCCATTTCCGACTTTTTCGCGATCATAGAGCCACTTTTGGCATATTCATAAGGTTGACGTCAGCCACGTGCCAAAACCCTTGGTTCCTGTGATCACGAGATGCCATAATTGACCGGAAGGTGCTATCTATTAAGCACCAAACTTTTCGGTACGTTACCTGCGGTGCGAAGGAAGAGGATACCCCACATACAGCTCCATAACCAACCCAGAAGGAATACAGGGGTGAGAAGAATTTGTAGAAATCCGATCACAATGTTCGCCGTACAGCTAGCACACGCCTCCGAGCAGTTCCTAACGCCGTGACGATCACAGCAACACAGTGCAAATCCGGTCAAAATGGTTCCTGTATAAACATATAAGATATACATATTTACTTCCGGTTGTGTAAGTAACTTCCGGTTTAAGCGACATATGCCTCTTCTTGATAAGAAGACAGTATTACGAAATATTTGGATGACGTAATGTTAAATACATTTAGGAACAAACACATATTTTGTAATAATTCAGAAAAGACTTATCTGAAAACCAAGGAAAAGATTTCTTTGCACACTGAACTATTGCACGGATCTGATATTCAACAATTTCTATATGTAGTACCTTCTTCCCCATATTTTGGGCATTTTGTTATACTGAAATAACTAATCACGAAAGTTTTTGTTTCGTCATATTAACTGACGACACTTTAATGTTGGCATTTTATCTCATTTGGTTCCCAATTCACTATCTGGAATATCAACATTTCAAATTTTGAATGAGCTATATCACTTTTTCAAACTAGTGATATTATTTTAAATGAGATATATCAACAAAGGTATCAAAGAAATAAAACAACGCTTCATGCTGTACATAACTACATATATGTATACATATAATTATATTAGTTTTATTATGATTGTATTTGATTTTCATCTTTTGCATTTTATTTTTTAATTACTGGCCTTATACTATCTGCATGGATTTCATATTTAAATCGTTTATATTTTTAATATCAGTTACTGGCCTTGTTTTATTTCTATCTTGTAAAGAGTATGTTTGACTGTGGTCAACGTTGTATACAGATTTAACCTAACTGTGTTCAATAACATGTCACAAAAATGACGTCAACATTTGTCGTAATATTATTAATACAATTTAAACATCCCAATCGTGTTTTCCCCAAAACTAGTAAATCATTAATTTACATATTTACTAATGTACTAGTAATTTACTGATAATGATTTTATGTACAAATTTTTACTAATACCGTTCTGTCAACAAGCTTGGGCTGATTTCGCACTACCATGTAATACATAGTGCATACAGTTTAAACAGACTGCATTTGATAAAAGTTCAGCTTATATTTAATTCTTGTTTCATCTAATCTGTTTTGTAAAAATAACTTTAAAATGTATGTTTTGGTAGCTTTAAACGATAATAACATTTTTACAAGAAAATTTGGCAGCAATTAGCATACTTGTTGGTGTAATGTCGGTCAGATTTAACTTCCGTAATATTTTTTTACGCAAATTAAAGGAATTCCTTTTTATCAGACTTTACTTTTGCTCGGCGGGTTAAAATTTATTACATAAGATTGTTACGTTATACATAAAAAAAAACTGCCCAGTATTTTGTAAAAACACGTTAAGATGTCTTTTATAACAAAAATGTAATAAGGTCACATCAGTTAAAACGTCACCAAAGCTTGCATACCTTTTTTTTAAGTTTCACGATGGTATATGTACGTATCTGTATGTTCATATACATACTATCGTTTGTTTGTTTGTTTATTTTTTAACTACAAGTAAACCTTGTCCTAAACGAGTCTGTCCTACCTCGATATGAAACCCTTAATCATTTCTCTTGTACTATACACCTTGTTTTCATTATGTACTTATTATATACATGTATATAAATGACCTTGACATAAAGGTAGCAACCTTGACCTTGGTCAACGCGTAGTTACCTTCCCCTGTAATTGCTTGTACGAGGGGCCACTTCCTCGAGCCTAACAATTCAAGAGATAATACAACAGAGATTATCGGCTGCATTGAGTTCATCGATTTCAGTCAGGTGATAAACACCGACGCAAGTGTATACAGCTGTACGCATGCGTTAACGGAAGTAAGGTATAGTTTTCTTACCGAGTCCGGGAAAGGCGAAGTTCGACACACAGCAGACGATGGCCACAGGTTTGGGGAGGGCAGCCACGGCCATCGTATGTGTTGGAGTTGTGTCGCCGATGATGGAGCCATGTCTGTGCGTCCTATCAGTATGAACACTTCCGGTCCTTGTGGGTCCTTCCGGTATCACACTTCCGGTTTGCATAATCACAGTTTTGTTAAGAATCAAACTGATTATACGACCAGGTTATACAGAATATACGTATGGTAACGATACACGTTTCGTTTTTCAGAAATTATCATATCCGCAAGCTTTAGCACTGTGCAACAAATCGCTTTTATAACTAATCCGCCATACACACAATTCCACATACTGATGCACCATTGTCACCGTTTAGGAATTTGTTTACACCTTGTCAAAATAAAGTACGTTCGTTGACGTAGAAAATACATACTCGAAAGAGTGTTGACAAATAGGGTTTCCATTGAAACTTAATCTGTTTCCAGACTCTAGTTACAGGTAACGAAATGGTTGTGCAGTTCACCGAATTCCGCTGATGTGTTTCATTCAGAAAGAGGGTCCCGGTGTTGTTTCCCGACTGTCCTGTACATGTAGATACACAATTTTACTAATAAGCTAATTTGCTGTGTGGATGATAAGCTCTCGATGACAAAGTTTCCATACTATTTCTAACCTTTAGTACAATGCAATAAACAAGGGTCGAAGTTTTAACATGTACGAACTAATAACCGCCCTACATGTGTACTGTATAACACTGAGTTGTAATTCCAAGTTCTTAATTTAAAGTACGTACAAAACAGTGTGTATACACATGTGTTCTGTTTACCGTAAGTCCGCGTATGTGTGAAATACGTTTGACCATTTAAATTTCTAAATAAATAACCGTCATAATATTTTCCAACAAGCTTTATTACCTTTCACTGAATACGATGTAGTACAAATTAATAAATATCATACCCATGCCACGTTTAAACATGTATTTACTATACACATTAATTATATATATAAAGCATTACAATATGGGTCAAAGAAGTAATATAGACGGTAAAAGCCCATATAACACTGGATCCTAATGGAGGTATGTCAGCATTGCAATATGTATATATGTACATAAAATTTTGGACGATTCAATGACCGATATCGCCAGCAGTGCGAAGGTTTATAACAAAAAACGGGTTACTTCCCCTGACAACGAGTAAACAATTCAAAACAAACATTTAAACTCCATTGTATATGTTAACAGTCGGGCCGGCTTAAATAGCTGACATAAATACTCCTGCAGGTTATATAGGTAAACTTAGGCTTTACCTCAAGGATTGTGGGCCGGCTACATTTCATTAATTTAGCTATTTTATAACTATCTATTTTTAGGATTAATAGTTATAAATGTAAGTTACTGGCAGTCAAGAGCAATGGTATTGATTTAAACATATTTATTGCCCCAAATTTGAGCAGAGGATTAGGCGCAAGTTGTATCAACTTATCAACGCCTTTTCCTCTAATACAGTACATATTGATATGTACATGATAGCATCTAACAAGGCATACAAACTATATTTTACAATTATTATATTTTACTTAAAATCTGTTGCTGGATTTGATGAAAAGTTGCACGTGTCTGAATATAATCTGTATTGGTATCTACGGACAGATTTTCATTCCCAAATAGAAATAAAAATAAATTTACTGGATATATATTCAACGAGTTTATGTTTCGAAACAGCGTAATTCGTGCTGTATTAAAAAGTTTCCATTCTAAGAATGACCCTCACAAACATCCTCACAACAATGTAACACCCGATATTTCATTAAACACCAGCTTAGCTTGTTTTAGTGGATAACGCAATGCATAATATTTTATATTCTATTGTATTGCACATAGATTGACTTTCGTTTGTCTTTCTTTAGCATTACTTTCAGGTTCCTCGAAATATTAGCTGAATGAAATATGGAAATTTGGAATTCGGGCTGTGTCCTGCAACTGTATACAGGGTCCAAGGTGTTCGTTCTATGTGTGGATACGGGAAGAACCAAAGAGAGAAGTATGGTGGTTTGAGGACACGGAGGTCTCGCAATTGAAGTTGAAAATAAACAGTTTTAGAATGCTAGGACCCCGGTATTGCTCCAATTAATTGAAACATTTTAATTTCGAAAATACTATGCAGCTTTCCTTTCAGATGTTAAAATGTTTCCGACATAAACAGGACAGAAACCGAATTGACTCGATTAATGCTGTAATTTTGTTTATCGTGAACATATGATTAATTTAGAATACTAAATAATATGCGAAAGGGCTAACGCTATTTCAATACCGACATCATCATAAATGAAAGATTTTTTGTCTAAACATTTTCTTCGGGTTTGGTATAAGTATGGATTATGAGAAGACCTTTTTCACAACCAATAACAATTTCTATGTGACGTTTCGATGACTAGTACGATCTGTACACTGTCACCTTCATCAGACAAATGATTCAGGTGACAGTGTACATATCGTACTAGTCATCAAAACGTCACATAGAACATTTGATTGGTTGTGTCAAAATGAAAGTATTTAAGTGATTTCTGCAGCAATTTAGTTTCTGGGTAACGAAACACGAAGCCGAAACACACTGTTTAGATAATACACATGTATGAATTGCTCAGTTCCTACAATACCGGGCCCGCGACCGTAATGATGATAAAGAGATCTAATCTGAATATATATAGTAACAGAATAAACGTGACCGTATTACATTCAAGGTCACGGCCGTAATATTCTGTACCTGATACAGGTATGTGAAACAAATTCCAACTGCAGCGAAATAGCGACCATGTTTTGTAATCAAAGTTGCGATTGTATTTCCACTTATTAACATACCTGTAGATATAGAGTATAGCGCCCGGAGTTCCTATACTTACAAACAGCTAAGCGTTATGAAGCAAACCCCCTTGATAAGAATTCTTCAGTCCTCGGAGAAAACAAGCGGATCATTACCTTGTAAATTATGTGTTATGTTATGTTGATTTTAATATATTAAGAGAACATGACATGACATACTCAAACATTACTTTACTCAAAGAATAATTGATATCTGGAACAGTCTCCCACAAGATGTTATTTCATCTTGTAAAGTATTTGACTTTGAGAAAAACTTCTGGAAAGATCTTAAGTTGAAGTATGATCATACAGCGTCTTATTATAGACTTATTTTATGTTTACCACAATGTACATATTTCAAACTATATTGATGTGGATATAGAGGCAGCAATGCGTGTGACCACTAATATTCTATTAAATCCTATTAAAATTTACACTTTACAAATGTCTAAATGATGTTTTAAGCATTTCCTTATACAGACGACCACGTGGTCGAACAGTGATTAATCTGACCCGTTTCAAAATTTTCAGATTTTCATAACAAAAACACTTTGAAGTTTGTTAGTTTCATTTAAATCATAGGCAAACTACAGTAGTATGCATGCTGAATACACATCGTGTTTACATTAAATATTGTGATGGACTTCAGCCCCGACTTATAAGCATGGTGAATCTTCATCTGCGGCCAATCTCGTTGCCACTGGAATCGGTCAGCCAGGCGACATACATACGATACACGTCCGGCGATGTCATTGGCCCGACTGGGAACCCTATCTCGTCAAGTTTGGACAGAGCCCAATTCAAGTCCTGACCGTCCTGGAGCGCAGCAGCGAGGACCGTGAGGTAGGCTGACGATCAAAGACAAAGCAACACTAAGTTACAATGAGAGTAAAGCCAATGTAAAGACGCGGAGTGACTATGGTGTTAGTACTGTTATACTTATTTTAGAGCAGTCAAAGTTTAGCGAACGAACGAGTTTTGACAGATAAGCGCTTTGATAAATTGGCGAAACAACAACATATTCAATAGAGAAAAGTATACAGAAAGTTCCACTTCTAAAGTGGAAAAAACGCTTACATAAGACTTCCTCTTAAATATTACTTTTACAGTAATTTACAGTAAATGTATGCTATTTTAACCACCTGGACATCTTCTCTGGATTTTTTTTATTATATATCACCTGCACGCCTTGAGTCGGAGCAGTGTACGAGGACTGGTTCTCCTGTTTCTCCGATCTCCAGAAATTTGTCTTTAAACTCGGAAAACAACTCCCTGCTGTACTGGCGACCATTGTCTATAAAAGACAGATTAAAGATGATTAATGTTTTTAGCAACGATTTAATGTCAATACATTGTTACAATACGGATGGTTGAGTCACAGTTTAAAACATCGGTCATGATTGGATCAACAGAAATGACCAAAATCATTCGTGGTGATGCGTCTTGCAAATTTGATGGCAGCCTTCTTTTCCTACTCTTGAGGAACCATGAGGACACAATAAGTTTTTTCCATTGCAATACTTGGGACATTTGTCTTATTCCCTCACTCTCCTTGACGTGGTGTTGTTCTTAATCTCCGCGTCATATGACGTTTTCGTTATTTGTGGAAATGACGTAGATCCCAAATACGAGATACATCAAGAAATGCTATGCATGTCATATTATATTTATATTCGTCCATAATTATTGGACGACTATTTTCAACGCACACAAAAAGGGAAAAAGCCGTAACATAATTCAAAATCGACTCAAAAACACACAGGAACTGGGCAGACCTCAAAACAAAAAGGAAGGCAGCAACAGTAACTGTGGAGACACAAAAACAAAAGTAAATACAACAACAGGAACGAAGGAGACACCAAAACAAAACGAAAGGCGTCATGATCATAACCTCCTTAGCAATTCTAAAACTTACTAGACACCAAGGTTTCCTAGTTGAAATGTGAACAGCAAGGACACAACTTACCTAGAGGGAGATGATGGTATGTCAAACCAGCCTTCTCCACAGCAACTTGCTCCAGTCCCTCATTGTATCCGACACCGTCTCCAAACTCAAGGGAGTTCCGCTGCTCGTAGTTCACGGAAGACGTAGCCGAAATATAAGTGGTCGCTTTGTCAAGGTCAATTCGAGTTCTTACTAGCGTATCCGGTGATTGACGTGGCCCGATAGTGGCATTTCCGTACGTGGGCGTTCCGTCTACGATGTTCAGCAGTGTCACAGTTTCCTGTGAGGGTTGGTTGTGTGTCGAGGTACCTAAACGTAGGTTGATCACGTGTTTGAAACCGGTGCCGACAATAGCAGGTATGTGTGTGGAAAGAATTTGTCCTCCAACAAACCAACTTTTGTAAACGAAATGAACCAACCAATAGTTTGACCATTCAACCGGATATGCAGTGGTGTTCGGAAACACTTTCGGTAGAGGACTTCCGGTGATTTTTGACACGACTTCCGAAGTGTTATTTGCTGTAAAGTCTAGTCCCAAAGATGCAGTAACTTCGTAGAAGACATCACTCGTAATACGAGGCCGGAAGTTAGGATCAACTCTTGTCTGGTTCGCCATATACATTAATGTTGCAAATGTTATTGTATGCGCACGATGACAATGCATTAGAATAGGTTTCTCCATTTCGGCAATGGCAGATGTCAGTTTCTGTACAGTACTTACTTTATACCAATCATCCTCGGAATCAAGTATAGCTCTAAAACCCATATTTACAGCATATGCCATCGTCTTTGCCCCATCTGTCGTCGTGAACGTTTCCAGCCCCAAATTTCCTGGGGAATTGAACCGGAAGAGCGTAATGATGCTTCTGAAACCTCCCTCGGACGCATATTTTATTTGCCTTTCCGTAAGTCGTCCGGTCAAGTACAGGTCAGGAGACATCTTCCGGATCCACCAAAGTTTCTGGAGAGAATTCGGATTTACACGGTCCGGAAAAACATCACGGAACAGAAACCGTTTCTGATGAGCTGCGTTACAGGCGTAAATAACAGTACAAATAAGAACTATTCGAAACTGTACGGTGGCCATTTTCGACGAGAATCGGCAGCGACAGTAATTTAGCTAGCTTGACCTTAAGATAGTAGGCTTGTCTTATCGCCGCTGCACAAACTACTGTTATGACACGCCATAAGTCGTTTGGCTAAACAAAACCCGTTGGAAAATGATAATACAGGAGTATGTATCAATCAATAGAAATTTGGAGGAAATATTATGAATTGCATTATAAGACGCTTACTTCTAGCCGTATACACCACCTGCATTGATACTACCTGACGTTTGTATGATTGCGTATGCGTGTGTATGCAATTAGGTGCGTGTGTATGGGTAGGTGTGCGTGTGTGTGTACTGGATATGTACATATGCAATACCACACACTTGTGTTTTTCTAACGAATCAGAAAGCATTCATTTATTGCGCGGACGAATATATACGTCCGCGCAATACATGAGTGCTTTCTAATTCGTTAGAAAAACACAACTGTGTGGTCTTGATTTTATCACATACCTTCCCTATTCGGTAGAGATCGATACAAAGATTTTATGAACCTTGATAATTTTTGCAAATACCGGGAACTTTTCAGTTCGCCATGACAAGGGGATTCCCATAAAAAGTAGTTCCTGCTAGTAGGTAAATACAACATTCCGTATTACACATGTGCAATACAGAACGCTATATTCATGGTCTGAAAAATGCTTGTATTACTACATTCTTGTATAACAGGATTCAACAGGTATGTGATAAAGTTTGTTCTTTCGGTGGTACCGTGCTTCCAACACCATCATTTTCTAATAACTAACGCTTGTAGCTACAGCACAGACGCTGCAACACCATTCCCAGACCATTTTTAATACTCCGTCCTGGGTTGTTCAGAGCTGGGTAAGCATGAAAATAAACACTCTTATCGTATTTTTTGAGTATCAAAAATAACTATCACCAATAAAACTCATATCAGTGCAATAATGCATAGTTTATTATACCAATGTATAACATGAATGAAGTAGACAGATCATAACAATAGTATGACTCAGAATAATGCGGGCGAGAAACATCATTAACAAGTTTGCATTTTTATACTTACAGTAATTTGAACACGTGGTTTGTATTTAAATATGAAATAAAATTAAATATCTCCACAACCGTATTAGTTCGACCATCTTCTCAAAATTCGTTTTGTCTTTTAATACATACATGCATACCTTGCCTTCATACTCCTTTCTTTTATAATGCATTTCTGCGCTTGTTTACTTTCGTATGATTCACCCTCACTCTTTATTCATTCTTTCATTCATAAACCATGTATCAGAATTTGTAATTGATTAATAATACAGATAGGTGTTCTCTAATATTTAGAAAATGCACATGTCACCATGTCGCTTGGCAACATAAGACATTAGCTAACAAATGATCTATTTGCACAAGGTCTGGTTAGCTTAACAGTATCATAAGATAGTTCTTTTATTTAGTTTGTGTTAAAAAAAAATTATTGACATTCAAAACTAAAATAACACAAACATATTACCCCTTGGGTTGAGACTTTTCTGTCTTACCCCCAAGATGGGGTAAAATCGTATCATTCTCACTCATTCGAAAGAGATATCCACACTTCCACTCAGGGAAATATATATCTGGCTTATCCTACACTCAACGATAGCTTATCACGGCAGATAACTCTGATACGCTGATAATTATGAAATAAACGTTTGCATTCCGTGAAATTACCACTTATTTGGGAGAAAAACAATAATTCCCACATTAGGAGTAAGACAGAAAAAGCTCAACCCACGCGGTAAGATTTTTTAAATAACTAACCCTCGGCAAAGCTTCGGGCTAGACATTTAAGGATCTTACTCTTCCGGTTGATATTTTTCTGTCTTACCACCATGGTGATGAAAAATATTAATAAATTCAACATGGGTGCTTCACATGGAACGCGTCTTTCCACCATAGCGACCGAGATTGGAGAAAAAAACTTTGAACTAAATTAAAGCATTTTCCAATATGTGTGAACACCTCGTTAAGCTTAAACAGTTTTTAAACAAACTCGGTCCCATTTTCCTATTAAGGATCATGTAACCAAAAATAAAATGGAAATTACGATGCCGACAATTAAAGCGAGGCTATCGTGTCTTATGTAAAAAAAAATCAAAGACATGCATAACGATTTTCCATACTCGAAAAACAACCCTTTTGCTATCATTGTGCATGTTTATGCCAAGCAAGTTTTCATTTGCTTGTTGTTAACCTTAACGACTGAATCTGGCAAAAACAAAATCAAAAGAAAAAACAAATGCACAACTCAACCCACATATATCAAGTTATTCAACCAAATAATCTTAGTCTTAAACATACCGAGCAGAACTATTCCGTCTTTTCGTATTGCAGGGGTTATCTGCTCTTGTGAGCAGGTATTGAGTGTTACGTCATTAGTATGTGTGAGAAAATTACGTCATTTTCTCAAAAATGTATGACGTTACTCTCACAAACAAATGACGTAACAATCAATACCTGCTCACAAGAGCAGATAACTCTGCAATACGAAAAGACGGAATTTTGATACATGCGTTTTTGGTTGAACATATCATTTATAATCAATATACATGTATAAAGATATAAAATGCACCGATATTCTTTTTATACGAAAACAAGCTGAAAGGCTATACATATAATGTAAGTTAAAATACACTATTGTAGTTTGTAATTTGAACTTATTTTTTTTGTTGAAACTGTTATGGAATTGAAAACTTTTTTTTCATTTAAGATTAACTTGAGAGAGTTAGTATCAACAATTACAATATGTATATTTCAGGAGTTGGAATATTGAAAGACAAATGTAATCATCATCCTTAAATCAGTGTCATCTATGTCGTTTTAACTGAGTGAATACAATGTACTGTGATGTTTTTATAATTATATACCTAGAATAGTTATATATATTTATAATTTATCCCCTGTAAAACATTAATAATTCCGCACTGCTGTTCAAATCGTTATATTTACATTTCCAGGGCAAGTTCCTCTATGACCAATACCGTCACACATTGCGTTAATGGGGCTATGAACGAAATCGGATCAGAATCTTTTCAAAGCTTCTCCTTCCCTCTCAAATAATATGAGACAACTGCTAGAAGCAAACATTTTGATGACGTTATACTTTTCCAGGAATCCCGTTTGCGCTGACTACATAAACACTTCAATATCGGAAATATAAGGGACTATCTGTATTCAGGTCGATAATAGGTAACAAATAACAATGTAAATATAAGGATTGAACAGCATTTTTTCAATGTTCATGCCCGTATGAACGCAAATCGATTACATACATATTTATCATGAAGCCCACTAGATCCAGTGAACCGGAACAAAAATGTCGGGCAAAACGAGGCGGAGAAGGGAAGTATAGTGTCAGGTAACCAGTAAAATGGCATTACACGACAGTAAATATTGGGAACTGCTTTTTGAACGTCAAAAAGGTAGGTACCAAAAACTGTCGAATTACAGTTAATAATCACTGACAATGATGTTATTTACATATGTTTTATGTGACATAGGTGATTATACGGCTTTATAACTTGTCAGACGTTACTTGCATAGGGAATGTAGACTTTTGAATTTTAAACACAAAGCGATCTCACAATATTGTCTCATGTTGGCGAATATGGCGGAGGTGGCTCCATTGGTGCCGATGGCTCAACTCTATGTTCCGAGTAGGGAGGAGCCTGGGGTGGAGCTTGAGGGGCCATCTTTGGATTGGGCTCTGGAGGAGGAAACCCAACCGGCGGTTGATATGGTTGACCCGGCTGTTGATATGGTTGAGCCGGTGGTTGGTAGGGTTGAGCCGGCGGCTGGTAGGGTTGAGCCGGTGGCTGGTAGGGTTGAGGCTGGCTGTAGGGTGGTTGTTGACCCTGTTGGTATCCGACAGGTGCTGGTTGATATGGGTACGTCTGATTAGGCGGAACGCCCGACTGTCCCGGGGTTCCATATTGGTTACCAGGAATTACCTGTTGCTGCGGATTGACCGGATATGTCGCCGTATCACCATGTGCTGGGTTGTCATGGTAATACTCAGCTGAAATAAGAAGTAAACTCAATTATTTTAATTTTAAGATCTAAGGGCAGTATCATAGTGTATCTCGTTTTGATACTTTAAAATTCCATTTTAACACAGCAGGGGTTAAGAAAAGGTATATTTCAAAACTATATAACTACGCTGTGGAAATGTTAATCTTGTGTGGTCATAGCATTGGGTTTTTTTCAAATTTTACACTATAATCACTTTCGAGATCGGGGGGGGGGGGGGGGGGGGGTTCTCTCTCGATATGCGTGGGTTTTTGACTTTTTGTTTATCGGAGGTTCGAGGTCAGCCATTTGATTTGGTCCAGACAAGAACTGACCAAAGGCAAGACAGTGGTACCTCTACTTTGAAGGTTATTCAAGAGCTATTCCGAAATCATAACGTTTAATTTAGCATTCGCGTAGCCCCGCGAAAGAAATCACAGATATGCAGGATTCTGTAAAGTGGCGCATACAAGGACGTTGATTCTGATACGTAAACAAACATTCCAGGGGCGCAGACTATGCGATATGATAAATGCTAAAATGATATTATTTAATTTCTAAACATTGACCTTGACGCCAAGACTCGAGCTTGATACTTACATGACATGCCAATCATCATGACGCCCCAGACACATGACCAGACCCAGCCAATAATGAGGGCTGTGAGGATGAGCTGAAGGAGACCAAGCAGGATACTCAGAGTACAACTCCCACACTGCTCCCCGCCTCCCATGTCCTCGTTCCGGGAACAGCAGCACACACATATTCCCGCCACGATGGTACCTACAGTAGTCGTAATATCATCTTGTATCACACGAATTTCGTTTTACACAATGAATACAATCAGTTGATAAAAAAAAATCATCGAAACATTACAATGATCAAATATCAAACAAAATGATATATTGACACTCAAATGGCCAGTTTAAGGTATGTGTACTCGTACACTCTGCAAGCTTTCTTCCCTTAGTTAACGACTTCTATGTGATTTTATATTATTTTGCTTATTACCGTATTTAATTATATAATCACTTCTGACGTTAGCGCTGATATATTTAGCTTGACGTCTTGGCATTCTGACGTGACTAAAAAGCAATTATAACTATAACGTTTAAATGGCGTCACGGAGTAGAGCATGTGAAGTTTTAAAGATCCCATCCAATGTTTTGTCTTTTAATTGGTAATCACCCCTTAATTTCGTTTTGATAGAACTGTAACACATTTTAGGCCAAGACAATTCCGTTGACCACTTAACTCACTCAGTTAGACCAACAATTCAATGGTCTAAAGTCAAGGATTTGAAACCCAGTCTTGCCCCGCTGAAATTTCACTTTTAGAACACTGTTGTTGATTTCAGTTTGTTTATGTCTTTTTTTTAATTTTTCATTAGTGTCCCATAAGGTATGGTTTTCTTTCCAGAAATGATTTAGCAGACGTATAGCCATGTCGAAAAAACTCAGTTTTCAGATTCGGCAGTAGTAACGCGGGGAACCTTATTAGGAAAATCTACACGCACATAAAAATATAAACGAAGAGAGATAACTCTGACAGTCCTATGTGTGTCACTTGGTAAACAATGTGTAATTACGTCAATACGATATTTCTTCCGTCTCCTTTTCAGGTTTGAATAATTCATGTATTCGTTCATTATGTTGTAAGTAAGCATACAGTACGTCGGGTAAATCTAAAATACCACGAACAAGCACGTGACACAGCTATAACGTGGCCACCACGCCCCGTCTCTGTTTGTCTGCAATGTTTACATGTGTTATTTGTGTTCCTGTCAGTCCGGTATGTAAATGTGCATCACTGCGTATGTAATTTATTACGTAATCAAAACTCCACCCCATATTCCTTGACGTATAAAATAAGTGTGTGTGTATGGTCAGAATGTATACATACCCAATCCAGGTACAACGAAGTTTAGCACACAGCATAGCGTCGCCAGAGGCATGGGAAGGGCTGGAATGTAGATCCTTTTCTTCTTACCCCGGGCCCTCAGGTTCCCATCACCACTACCGACACCCATCTATCCCGGGGGTTAGGTTAATTCGCTGGGGAGCTCCACATCCGGTTGATCATCGGTGTGCTAGAATATGTGTGTGTCTGTTTACTGTGAAATCATATGGTAAGTACATGTAAGTCAGCGAGTGAGTGTGTTGCTGTGTGTGTAGGGTGTCGTATGGCTCAGTGAATTCCACTATCATATGATAAGGAAACTATATATATGCGTACATCGCTATAGGGCATACATATGTTCTACGTACGTGTATCAAAACAACCTACATGTGCATCACCTCGACACACCTGTCATAAAAATACATATGTAGCTGATACAGTAATATTGATATATGGCATAAAAATCAACTAGACTTACACAAGTCCATTTTATTCGTGTTATATTCAGTGGAATCTGAAAAATATAGAAGAATTTTCGTAATTACCACAGTATTCTTCGGCAGCGACCGCAGACATTATAGTTAATTTTTATGCAAATGAATGGAAACCTTTCCTGTGCTATAATTAAATAGTTGATAGTAAGAGATTAATGTACGAATCACGATTTCTTAGGTTACTAGTTACTAATTACCAGAATATGTATAGTACGTGACAAAGATTTTACTGTTTCGGTAAACACTGGGAAAATGCTGAGTCATTATATAATTTCAATGCATGAACTGTAGTTACCATAAACTGATGACACTTTTATTACAGTGCATGTTTAAGTGAAGCGTATACGTCGAGGATATTATCATCTCGTCTAAGAAAGCTGTCATTAAATGTCATTTAACAGTCAAGCCAATGATCAAGACGAAATCTAGTCACTTCCGCAGCCACAGATCTATACAGCTACAATATATATTTAACCTCGTGTAGCAATTAATGGATTTAGTTCGTGATGACTGACGCGCAGATTAACCAAACACGGCCCTAAATATCTCCCCTAAGACAACAACCAGCTGTAAATATGCTACGTGAGTATCTTTTCAAGTTCAAGTTCTTTATTTGCTGAAGTTTTACAACTTAGGGCAATTACAGATAAGACAAAGACACTCACAAGGACACACTCACACTGACTCGGAAACATCATCCTCATCATTAAGAACACTCACACTAAGTCGCACACATCATCATCATCATCATCATCATCATCAAGAACTCTCACACTAAGTCGCACACATCATCATCATCATAATCTTCATCATCCTCATCTTCTTCATCATCATCATCTTCATCATCCTCATCATCTTCATCATCTTCATCTTCCTCATCATCTTCATCATCATCTTCTTCATCATCATCATCAATCATCATCATATCATTACATCATCATAATCATCATCATCATCATCATCATCATCATCATCATCATATCATTACGTGTAATTGAACAAATATATACATACTAGGCCTTTTGAAATAATAATGCTTAATGTATTTAGACCGGAGGTCTGAATACCGATTACATTTAATTATAAAATGAAATTCATCTTCTTTATCATTTTCATTACATAAGATACATGTTCTTTCTTCTCTAGGTATATCTCTGTAACGGCTACGTTCGATGAACAGGTCATGCCCACATAAACGCATCTTTGAAATATGTTTTAGATCATTTAAATTAATTGCCTTATGAAGATATGGTTGCAATTTAATACTTTCCACTAAATGCTGATATAATACTCCTTTAGAAGAAGAATGAACTTTCTCTAGACAATCTTCCTGAAAACTATCACATCTCAGACGTTAAATACAACGACTAATACAGTATATCCTCTAACGCCCGCCTCGAATCCATGGGATTTTAAACTTATTTTGTTATTTGCTTACCTAACTATCCTCTTCGTCCCCGGTGGGACATAAAGCCATAACAAACTGCCTCCACTTCTGTCTATCCTTTGCCATAGATTGTGCTTTTCCCCAACTGTAACCCATCTCTTGCAGTTCTGATGTTACTGTTCTTCGCCAAGTGTTGCGTGGTCTGCCTGGCTTTCTCTTTCCTGGTGGTGTCCAATGCAAAGCTGTCTTTACAGTGCGGTCGTGTGGCATTCGCAATACATGGCCTAGCCATCTGAATCGTCTTTGTTTGATCTCTGTTGTTTATTTTCTTTGTTTGATCTCTGTTGTTTATTTTCTTTGTTTGATCTCTGTTGTTATTTTCTTTGTTTGATCTCTGTTGTTTATTTTCTTTGTTTGGTCTCTGTTGTTTCTTTTCTTTATTTGATCTCTATTGTTTCTTTCCTTTGTTTGATCTCTATTGTTTCTTTTCTTTGTTTGATCTCTGTTGTTTCTTTTCTTTGTTTGATCTCTGTTGTTTATTTTCTTTGTTTGATCTCTGTTGTTTCTTTTCTTTATTTGATCTCTATTGTTTCTTTCCTTTGTTTGATCTCTTTTGTTTATTTTCTTTGTTTGATCTCTATTGTTTCTTTTCTTTGTTTGATCTCTGTTGTTTCTTTTCTTTGTTTGATCTCTGTTGTTTCTTTTCTTTGTTTGATCTCTGTTGTTTCTTTTCTTTATTTGATCTCTTTTGTTTATTTTCTTTGTTTGACCTCTGTTGTTTGTTTTCTTTGATTGATCTCTGTTGTTTCTTTTCTTTATTTGATCTCTATTGTTTCTTTTCTTTGTTTGATCTCTGTTGTTTCTTTTCTTTGTTTGATCTCTGTTGTTTGTTTTCTTTGATTGATCTCTGTTGTTTCTTTTCTTTATTTGATCTCTATTGTTTCTTTCCTTTGTTTGATCTCTGTTGTTTCTTTTCTTTGTTTGATCTCTGTTGTTTCTTTTCTTTGTTTGATCTCTGTTGTTTGTTTTCTTTGTTTGATCTCTGTTGTTTCTTTTCTTTATTTGATCTCTATTGTTTCTTTCCTTTGTTTGATCTCTGTTGTTTCTTTTCTTTGTTTGATCTCTATTGTTTCTTTTCTTTGTTTGATCTCTGTTGTTTGTTTTCTTTGTTTGATCTCTGTTGTTTGTTTTCTTTATTTGATCTCTATTGTTTCTTTTCTTTGTTTGATCTCTATTGTTTCTTTTCTTTGTTTGATCTCTGTTGTTTCTTTTCTTTGTTTGATCCTTGTTGTTTGTTTTCTTTGATTGATCTCTGTTGTTTCTTTTCTTTATTTGATCTCTGTTGTTTCTTTTCTTTGTTTGATCCTTGTTGTTGGTTTTCTTTGATTGATCTCTGTTGTTTCTTTTCTTTATTTGATCTCTATTGTTTCCTTTCTTTGTTTGATCTCTGTTGTTTCTTTTCTTTGTTTGATCCTTGTTGTTTGTTTTCTTTGATTGATCTCTGTTGTTTCTTTTCTTTCTTTGATCTCTGTTGTTTCTTTTCTTTGTTTGATCCTTGTTGTTTGTTTTCTTTGATTGATCTCTGTTGTTTCTTTTCTTTGTTTGATCTCTGTTGTTTATTTTCTTTATTTGATCTCTGCATGTTGTTTATTTTCTTTGTTTGATCTCTGTTGTTTCTTTTCTTTATTTGATCTCTATTGTTTCTTTTCTTTATTTGATCTCTGTTGTTTATTTTCTTTGTTTAATCTCTGCATATTGTTTATTTTCTTTGTTTGATCTCTGTTGTTTATTTTCTTTGTTTTGGTTATTTTGAGTAGCTCTTCGTTGGTGATCTTTTTTGGCCAAAATATCTTGTGTATTCTTCTCAGACAGCTGTTGTGAAAAGCTTCAACCTTTTGTAGATCAGTAACTACTATTCTCCAGCGTTCAGAACCGTACAGAAGAACAGATTTAACATTGCTGTTATAGATTCTTAGTTTGGTTATTTGCTTAGGCTAGACAAAAACAAAGTTGTGTTTCCTGTATGTAACATGTTGGGAAAAATTTAGGGTATGTAGGTAGGTAGGATACACGTTTTATTTTTAAAAATAATTTTATGTGGTTTATATATGTTGACTTTAACACTGCTTCTTTTAAAATTGTCTTAAAACGTTGAGGGCTAGTACAAAAAATAATAGGGTAGGTAGGGTTACCGGAAACACCAAATATGTTTGATTGGGCCTTATAAACCCAATGTAGGTTTGGGAAATGAAGAGGTGTACAATATCCCACTGTATCTTATGAGGTGGCGACAAAGATGGCCCCTTTTGGAGAAGCTTATGTTACAGCTCAATTGCAGTCTGCTTAATCTTTCGTTTCAGCGGTATCTTCCTGGTCATCCGTCTTAGATAACGTAAGCTTTTACAAGGACGTAAAACATAAACAAAACAAAAACTTAACTATTAAGTTACCATAGAGATACACATTTACACACTGTCGTACTAACCCAATATGTTCCATACGTCTTTATATTGCACTAAGGTTACTCAAGTTTTTATGTCTCAGAAATTGACAAGGATATCATGATGCCAAATTTTTACAATATCTGTTTTAATGTGCTTTTAGAGAAAGGGAATACATTATTAGAATGATGGTTTAAGATAAAAATATATATATATATATATCATGATACTGATATGATAACAATTCCGCAATCGTCAATAATGACGGAGGAAGGTTTCAAGATGAAGATGAAGATAAAGATGTCAGGTGATAATTGTTTCGTTTGTTTTTAATTCTCATTTTTTATCAACCTCCCATTACATCGTTTTGATATTTGTAAGCTCTGTATATTATAATGTAATAATAATATATGACAATACTGGACGCAGGCAAACGCCTATATATCAATATCATGTGTATGGTCAGCATCTAGACTGACGCCCTGACAGTGAATAAGTTAATTATTGTCAAGTTCATGATTATAAAAACATTCTGTAGATATACCGTTTCCTTTGCTTTTAGGAAGTAGGTCATTATTCCGGTTAGCTGTTCCATGTAGGGTTTTTTTCAATGGGAATTTTGAAACATTTGAAATTCAGATCGTATAATTATATTTCAGAATTAATATCTCATTTTTATGTCATTAATAAAACGTGTTTGTAGCTGGGTATCTGTGTGGTCGAATCTGTTAATATAGATTGATAAGAATCCCTAGTCATATGAAAAAGTTAAGCTTTTGATCGTGGAGTTTCAAACATGATACAATAAGACTGAGAATGACCCTTACCACACACTGCATGCTGTAGTTATGTATGATTCATAGTAATGCAAGCTTCTTGGTCCCATGTTTCGCGAACCTGCTTTAATTTAAATGTTCCCACTGGAAAGCTTTCTGAGAAATAAGGAAGACCTTGAGTTACTGGCCAATTTCAGCAATGTTTTCTGATGGGTAAACGCAAAGTTCAAGATTTTTTTTTAAAATGGAACCATAAAGTAAAAATACGGTATAACCGTTGTCATTGTTGTGAAATGTTTGTTACAAATTCTTTCCGACTTAGAGATTACATATAAATGACATCTTGCTATGCATTTTGCAGACTTTTCAAGTACAGGGGTCGAATAAAGGACCTATGCACCAAACGCTAATCCTACACTATAGCATTATAAACGCACATCATCAAAATGAGAGCTCAACAAATTTGCTCAACTTACATGGAGAAATGAGTACCTTGATAAGGGGAGTAACTCTAAACCAGAAAACCCCTTTGGTTGCTTCATCCCTCTATATGTGTTCGTTGCAATCTTTTTTTCTTACCACTTATTATCTGCATCCTCCTAACCATCTTGTCGAAACAGTGTTTCTCAGTTTTCTGGCCGAGGGTGTGATACTTTAGGATGGGCTTGGTTTGGTTTAATTTTGCTTAACATCTTATTAACAGCTAAGGTCATTTAAGGACGTGCCTCCATGTGTATAGCGTATGCGTGCTTGCTTGCGTGTGTGTATGCAGGAGACAGGGTATGTTGGTGTTCTTGCCACCGTGTGATAGCGCGGTTCTGATGCCGATATTTTTGGAAGTTACTGATTAGATAGAACATGATAAGTCATAATAACTTCGGATTCTAATGAAATCCATATTTTTGCATTTTACGTAATCCGTCTCCGTAAGTTGGTTTGTCTTTAAATGCTTGGGTAAATTTCCGGAGGAAAACAAATCGTGCAATAAGGTTTTAACGATTTTATACACAGTTCTTTCATTTAAGTTGATAAAAGTAGAAATAATACTGAAAGTAAACAAAATATAAGTATGACAGTCATATCATGTCAATATATTCTGTATCACACCTACATCAAGTAAAATCAAGGAACGCAATGAGGTCAAGTTATATATGAATAATTGAAGATTTATTTCATTAATAAAAAACATATTTTAGGCGATCGAATCTGCTGACTAATACATGGTATATGGATCACATGACACCGCTATGTATTATTTATTCTGCAATGATATAGGCAAAATCTTTCCCTTTTCATCGCTTTATAAGATGTCTTCTTCCACTTGCGAAAGATAACAAATTTTATTTTTGAAAAAAAAACAATGAAAACACACTAGCGTGTAACAACACGCACAGAAAAGCACTATATATTATGGATATTGGCAATGCCTTGGTCGTACTCAATATTTCCAAATATTCATGAAAACATTGAAATTCTACCACACTTTTGAAATATAAACGTTCGTCACAGGACTTTTTTTTATATATGTGTCATCTATATTTAGATTATGTATTAACCACCATGAGATTAAAAACAGAGTAAAAATATCACAATGTCAATGTGATTATAGAAAACTCAACAAAGACATGAAATTCACAGACTTTAAGCGTTATACATGATACAATATATAGAGTAAACTCTTTAGGGTGTCAACATTTGGACACTTGTTTGGCGATTCCGAAAGCAAAAAGCATAACCAGGCTCTGTGTCTCTGTGGCTAACTCCTAGTTTGTAAGGTGCTTAGTTTATAAGTTATAATCAACTATAGAAGCAAGTTCCATTTTTACCCTGATCAACCTCCATTCCATGTCACCCACATTCTTGACGGCGGTTTCAATAGTAGTCAGTGAGAAATGCCAGCGAAAATTCACTTCGCCCGTATAACAAAACCACGAAATACGAAACACACATGCATTTTGTGTCTAACTTCAGAGTACATGTATGTTCGTTGCGATGAGGAAGGACATGTATCGGAAAATAACGCATTCGAAAATAACATTTTAAAACGAAAAGCAATATCAGCACCATTATAAATTGCTATCACATTAAAAACAACTGTGTGTTAGAGATCGCGTTCGACAGAACGTTTATATGCGAGAACATACTCGCGGAGTTAATAAGCATCTTTTTGAGCAAGATCAATGCAACTTTCTTATCACAAAGTCGAGGAACGCCGAACATGTAATTACATCGAACTCATTTTTGAATTCGAGAGTATTTTTCCGGTTTTCTTGTCACTGACTGCCCGTGCAAGTTACTCATCGAGTAGGACTGCCGACTATAATTCTTCTGGAGACACAATATGACATGCACATTTTATATTTTGGACTTAATTAGGAAAAAGGTGCCCCTCATAAATCAGTCCAAAATATTTGAAAGATATGCGGGAAGTCATTTGTGACTATGGCTATAAATTATCCTCCATTTCTGCCTCCATCTCGAGATGTTCATGGTAACACACATCACACACGATGGCGTAATCTCCTCCTTGAAATGGAATCTGTTTTGTGTAACACTGGCGACACACAATGTCGGTACACCGCCGACAAGCAAACTGAAAAGAAGAGATGTTTTGATGTAATAGCTAACGAAAATGATGTTGCAGTTACAAAGGGCGCAGTCATTGAAACTCTTGTTTACATCCGCTTTTTAATACTTTTCCATCCAAAAAATAACACATGATTTTAGGAGGATCTGAATTCGATTAGTTATTTCAATAAATAAACAATTTGTCAGTTACCAGTTTGGATAAAGTGTTTTATGTTTTCTAAACTCACATACTAAACCAAAAAGACGCCAGCAATTTTCGAGCGTGATGGCATAGACTTACCCGATGATCTTCTGTGACGAAATCCTTCTGACACACGCCACACCGAAGGGCCGACCTGAGGTTTGGGGCCTCGTTAGCTTCCGGCAAATTTTGTGTCGGGGGCTAAAAAATACAAGTTCGAGTCCGTTAACACTGGAAGTCACATAAATCATCGGCTTGAGAGACTCGACGGTGAACGAGCACGTAAGACTAACACGAGGAATCAGTTTTTTCTTTCTCCTTTGTGGTTCTCAATTTGGATTTCGTATTTCGTCATTTTGCTGATAAGAATATATTCAACACAATTCTTTACAAAGCGTTCTACATTTATGTACGACAAATGATTTTTTTTAAAGATAACCCATTCTTGAATTACACTCTTCGCTTGACAAAGGACGTTTTCGAAATTTCTTAAAATAGGTTTTCAATTCCTGTTTGTAAAAATGTAGAGGTATAATCAGTAAGGTAGCATATAAACTTAAGGGAGATAACTCTTAACACAAAGCACATGTGCATATCTCCTTAAAGGAGATAACTCTAACACGAAGCATAGATGTTAAATGTGTAAGGCAGTATATATCCTTAAGGGAGATCGCCTTTACAGACATCATGGGTATAATGCGTACGGTAGTATGTGTCCTTAATGAAGTAATTCTCTAACCCACATGTACCATATAATATACTAAAGGGAGATAATTCTTACCGAACTAGCGTTATAGATAATGTATGTATATAGAGTAAGAGGGAATGATTTTCCGATCCTAAAACATGTGATTCTATAGATAGACAATGGAGTATAACGTGTGCTTTTCAATGTTAAATGTCTATATGGTAATGGTAATAATGTCCTATCCTCGGGGAATAGAAATATAAAGTGTGACAACACACAACTCATAGTAGATTAATGTATAAGTCAGACCAATGGGTTCTGGAGAAACAACTGTCGCATGGTAGCCAGGTCAACATTGCCGTATCGTTCATAAATACACCCATCGTTATAAGTCATCCATAAAATTACAATGAATTCCATTGGTCTGTCAGAAACAACCCCGTGGACAGTGAATGTATTTTTGCTGTGGTATAACAAACGATATTTGTCCACGATTGTGAAATAGAGCGGTAAATCCCGTAACAATATAAACGGTCAAGCAGTTTGACTTTGTCTTTATGATAATACTAACATCTTTTATTTATACAGGGTTACATATTTAGGTTTACATCTAACCTACAATATGGCCCTGTAATACACAATTTACAATGGACATGGACATGATACTGTACATACAATGACATATACAGTATATGCAGACCCTGACAAGTTAAAGTATTAAACTATTCGTCTCATCTTTGACTTTGGGGTGTCGTGGGTTTTCAACAGAAAAATTAGTCGATGTTTTTTGCGTTTTTTATTTCTTTGATAGTTTTGAGAAAATTCTGTTAATTTGATGATGTATTTTTGCATACAATGACGTCATATTTGGCGGCCGCATGTTTATCTCGTGACGTTGAGTGTTACCAAAACCAGTCTACAGCCAAATAATTGTGTCAAAAGAAAAAATAACTGTGCCATATTTCAGTCACAATGAAGAAATAAAATTTCTGTTCGATTATTTATCATGACACGCATGTAAATTACTTGATTGATGTCATGTCTTTTACACGATACAAACATGATCAATGTCCTGTTAACGTATTCACGGATATCGAAGTTCTGTACGAATATATTACATACATTGTAATAGACACATCCGAAGACTTGACCTCACGTGTACTGTCAACCTAATAATGCTATTAATCAACCGAATACAATCATATACATGTATATTTCAAATTAAAAAAAAAAATGGCAGCAGCTGTCAATGGCCATACCAGTTTATTCTTTTAAGCAGAGGTGGCTATTGGGCCCTTCCAAAAAAGTAGAAGGCATGAGAGAAAGAAATTATTAAAGGTTCCAAATGATAAAATGGGAACGACAGATCACATTTTGTTTTTGTCTTATGTATCCCCTAGATTATACAGCTGGGGCCCTACATAGGTAGCCTTATGTAACCACGCGCTTTGGGACACAACAGGTATATTCTTTCCCCGACGGCTGTATGGGTACGTAGCGGTGAGAGGTTTGGTAATTTTTCGACTGCATTTAAATCCATTATTAAAATATTTATGGGAAAATATACCTGTTATAACCAATGAGAAGGCTCATTCAGACTATAACTACTATATATATATATGAAAACTATTAGCTAGTTTACAATTAATTATTTTGAGCATATATCTATATTTACAATGCATGTTTATATTTAAAATGTATATATTAGGACAACAGATTTAATAAGTCAGTCATTTTAACTTAAATTCATATTGGCTCTATAGAGGATTTGACGTGAAGCGAGCTTTTGATGTCTATTTTGTAAGCTGCATTCAATGCAGGATAAGCATAATGGAATAATCGACCGCACTGTGGAAATTTAAGTGGCAATTACCACGCTCATTTTCGAAAAAGCATATGGATTTTTTTCCTTTTCATGTACACATTTTGCTCGTTTTGAAACGAATATTTCATTGGTATGATTATTATTTATTTTTTATTTTGAATTAATGAAACAGTCTAACAGAATACGAAATTGTTAACGATGTTTGCCGGGTAGGTTAGACCGCAGTCGGTTCTATGTGTGTAAAATGTGGACTGCTCTCTAGTAATTCATTAATTTCCTTGGTGTGTTATCAAACGTTCTCATTTCATATACTTCAAAACGGCTGACTTATATAAAACAAGCTCTCGTATGGAAAGGTACATTTTAAAATTTTGTAACAAACTCGAAAAACACAATATTAAGGATAATAGCTAGAACATGACCAGGGTAAATACCAAATTTATCTCTAATGTTTAATTGATTTATATATATATATATATAAGTATAATATATACAAGATGTAATGTTTTAGAACAAAAAGAATTATTGCTAGCTAGCTAATTTTGCCGACTTCCGGCCAAACTTCGATAAAACCGGTGAACAAAGGACTTTGGTCTGTATTCATGCATGAAACCGTTATTATGCTAAAGCATGGATTCTGTGCTCAAACCATCCTCGATATTCCAACATTCTCGTAACTTGCATAAATCATGTGATACAGTCAAAACGTCAAGAGTGAACCCTGAAAACGGTATTCAGTTTAGTTTAAACTTTATTTTATTATCGGTATGATATTCCAGTGATGCCACCATGATGTACATATAATCCAAACCATCGATAAAGTGTTATTTGTTATTAATTTATCATCAAAGCAAGTAATCTGTCTTGAGCACATAATCTGAGTTTGAGCACAAGAACAGTTTCTGGATACAGTCCCATATTTCTGGATATTGCGAGACACGAGATCCGATAAAAGTACGCACTATTTCGCTATCCAATGCTGTTCCCAGATATTTTGGTAATTTTAGGTGACAGAGTTATGAGACGTGCCGCGGGCAAAGTGACACACGGACGAGCTGACAGATGGACTGACGGACAAAGTGACACACGGACGAGCTGACAGATTGGCTGACAGACAAAGGGACACACGGACGAGCTGACAGATTGACTGACAGACAAAGTGACACACGGACGAGCTGACAGATTGACTGACAGGCGAAGTGACACTCGGACGAGCTGACAGATTGGCTGACAGACAAAGTGACACACGGACGAGCTGACAGATTGGCTGGCAGACAAAGTGACACTCGGACGAGCTGGCAGATGGGCTGACAGACAAAGTGAAACACGGACGAACTGGCAGATTGGCTGACAGACAAAGTGACACACGGACGAGCTGACAGATTGACTGACAGATAAAGTGACACACTGACGAGCTGGCAGATGGGCTGACAGACAAAGTGACACTCGGACGAGCTGACAGATGGGCTGACATACAAAGTGACACACGGACGAGCTGACAGATTGGCTGACAGACAAAGTGACACTCGGACGAGCTGGCAGATGGGCTGACAGACAAAGTGAAACACGGACGAGCTGGCAGATGGGCTGACAGACAAAGTGACACACGCACGAGCTGACAGATTGGCTGACCGACAAAGTGACACTCGGACGGGCTGGCAGATGGGCTGGCAGACAAAGTGACACGCGGACGAGCTGACGGATGGGCTGACAGACAAAGAGAAACACGGACGAGCTGGGAGATGGGCTGACAGACAAAGTGACACTCGGACGAGCTAACAGATGGACTGACGGACAAAATGTCACATTGACGGGCTGGTAGATTGGGTGACAGACAAAGTGACACTCGGACGAGCTAATAGATGGACTGATAGACAAAATGACACAATGACGGACTGGCAGATTGGCTGACGGACAAAGTGACACACGGACGAACTAGCATGTGGGATGCCGAATTGACCTGTTTCATGTTTAGTACTGCCCAACATGAACAAAGGATTAGGTACAAGTTATTGCAACTTACCTACACCTTTTCCTCCTTACATACATGTATGCAATTTTATAGACTAACGTCAAGACTGATGTAAATATATATTATACGATAAACATGAATGTTTGCTCGTACCAAAATAATTCAGTACTTGTGTCTACGGCAATCTCTCCGAGTCCAAAGAGTAATACATGTAAATTATGAGCATTCATATTCCCAACAGTATTATTATAATTTTCACAAAACATATTCCTTATATCTTTATAATGCAGACCTTCAAAAAATGTTTGTCTTGTTCAGTTTCCGTAAGGATGTATGCTTTCTTACTCTGTGTCAGGGAAGTCTGTTTTGCATTTCCATACCGTCTTTTTTAACTACATCATACATGTGAAATATTACTATTTCCTCTTCAAAAGAGTTTCACACAGTGTACACGTGATTGGTCAGTACTCACCGTTTCTGCGGAACTGTTTACGCCGTCAGCGGGGGTAGGCGGGCTGTAGGAAGGAGGGGGCGTGGCAAACATGACGTAGGGCGGTGGGGGACTGTCTCGGTCGATGTCAGATGGCGCTCGCATCGGGTAGATAAAATTAGACCGAGGCTGTCTTCTACCGGAACCCAGCGGTCGAGAGAAGCATGCGCAAGTACTGTTTGACTGTGAGTGCGCACTGTTGACGCGATTCCTCCAACTTGACACTTCGCGTGGCTTTTCGTAGTAGTCCACTGTTAGTAACACAAAAATACCAAATTGTTAAACCAAAAAGGTTGAAAAAGAAGGTCAGGTTTTGTAGCTTTCCAACAGATTTATTCCCATAAGATTATTATGATAGAATGGTTGATTCGTGTGACTTTTAATGAATGATCTATCAAGAAACGTAGGAACAAATCACGTATACGGGAGTACATTTGGACCTACTCTGATGAAGAAGGAGTATTAGTGAAAATTATATGGGTTTACATCAAACACTACGACCCTCCCGACTTCCCAACATAGCTTTCATGATTAACATACCCATATTACATTTACAGTATGTATTTCACATACACTAATTGATTGTCACATACTATACTTAGGACTACTGTCGTTTATGCTTATTGTTATACAAAATTATTGTTGTATGTACGTTTGTCACATACACTTAATGTCACATACATTCAATGTCACATACACTTAATGTCACATACACTGAATGTCACAAACACTCAATGTCACATACACTTAATGTCACATACACTGAATGTCACATACACTTAATGTGACATACACTTAATGTCACATACATTCAATGTCACATACATTCAATGTCACATACACTTTAAGTCACAAACACTTAATGTCACATACACTTAATGTCACATACCCTCAATGTCACATACACTTTAAGTCACAAACACTTAAAGTCACATACACTTAATGTCACAAACACTTGGTGTCACATATATTCAAAGTCACATACACTTAATGTTACAAACACTTAGTGTCACATACACTCAATGTCACATACACTTTAAGTCACAAACACTTAATGTCACATACACTTTATGTCACAAACACTTAATGTCACATACACTCAATGTCACATACACTTTAAGGCACAAACACTTAATGTCACATACACTATATGTCACAAATACTTGGTGTCACATATATTCAAAGTCACATACAATTAATGTTACAAACACTTAGTGTCACATACATTCAATGTTACAAACACTTAGTGTCACATACATTCAATGTCGCAAACACTTAATGTCTCATACATTTAATGTCACATACACTTAATGTCACAAACACTTTAGGTCACTTACACTTATTGTCACATAAACTTTGCTTGTTTTCACAATCATGTGTCATCGTCCCACGTCATTTGGCATATTCAGGTCATGTGATAATTGATGACCATTACTGATCCAACAAATTGTTTAAACTACAGCTTCTGAACAAATGATTGTCTAACTTACATGATGTGCCAACGAGGGATAACCCCCAGATGGCGCTCCAAACCCAACCGACTAGGAAACAGGCCGTAAGAAGAAGCTGTAGAAACCCCACACCGACTACGGCTGCGCCAGAAGACAACTTCCGGCGCCGTGACATCTCTTCGGCATCCCCACAGCAGGGCATACACATTCCCGCCACCATGGTCCCTAGAAGACACAGATATATCTTGATACCCGAGTATACTGTACATATGGCGCGTTACATGGTGCAAAATTTAAGATTATTTTGCATATCATTTTATTTCTGTTTAAAATATATATATATTTAAATGCGAAAGTTTCATTTATATATGTTAAAAGAACATCTGTATTACAATATAAACAATTGATATATACATCAAAAGTACATCTGTATTCCAATATAAACAATTAATATATACATTAAAAGTACATCTGTGTTACAATATATACAATTAATATATACATTAAAAGTACATCTGTATTACAATATAAACAATTAATATATACATTAAAAGTACATCTGTATTCCAATATATACAATTAATATATACATTAAAAGTACATCTGTATTCCAATATATACAATTAATATATACATTAAAAGTACATCTGTATTCCAATATATACAATTAATATATACATTAAAAGTACATCTGTATTCCAATATATACAATTAATATATACATTAAAAGTACATCTGTATTCCAATATATACAATTAATATATACATTAAAAGTACATCTGTATTCCAATATATACAATTAATATATACATTAAAAGTACATCTGTATTCCAATATATACAATTAATATATACATTAAAAGTACATCTGTATTCCAATATATACAATTAATATATACATTAAAAGTACATCTGTATTCCAATATATACAATTAATATATACATTAAAAGTACATCTGTATTCCAATATATACAATTAATATATACATTAAAAGTACATCTGTATTCCAATATATACAATTAATATATACATTAAAAGTACATCTGTATTCCAATATATACAATTAATATATACATTAAAAGTACATCCGTATTACAATGTATACAATAAATATATACATTAAAAGTACATCTGTATTACAATATATACAATTAATATATACATTAAAAGTACATCTGTATTCCAATATATACAATTAATATATACATTAAAAGCACATCTGTATTCCAATATATACAATTAATATATACATTAAAAGTACATCTGTATTCCAATATATACAATTAATATATACATTAAAAGTACATCCGTATTACAATGTATACAATAAATATATACATTAAAAGTACATCTGTATTACAATATATACAATTAATATATACATTAAAAGTACATCTGTATTCCAATATATATAATTAATAACATTAAAGGGGCTGGTCAGGAAAAGAACATTTAAGCAGAGACCGAATTCTGAGCAAGGGTGTACAAAGCATGTTGTCCAAATTTATGAAAATATATTTAGATAAAATGTGTTTGAAATGACTATATATAAAAAATCAAAAAAAAAATCTGATGGAAACTGGTATTTGAAACGTTTTTAAATACCAATATTGTATGTGTGTGAGGGAACTGTCTAAGTAGTATCACTCGTTGTCCAATTCTATTTTACATTTCTACAATAAGATAGACATTTAAACACAAACTTTAAGATAGAATCTTGCTTGGTTTTAATACCGTCTGGATCGTATATTGTCCTTGTTTTGTATAAGAAACACAGGAAAATCATTCCTTTATAGAGAATATTGCAGTGAGTGTAAATAGCTCGTGACACGCAATGTGTCTATAATCGATCTGTATTGCCAGTAAGATCAGAGAAACACCACGAACGGGTATTTAAGTCAACCGGGGCAAATTCATGCAAAATCTGTAAATTGTACAAATTGTTAGTCGTTTATAGAACCACATTTCTTGACGATTTACAACGGTATAATTACTTTAGAGATATAATTGTTGTTTTAGTGTTATATTCAGAGCAGGTTTACTTTTCATATGCACACGAAAAAGTATTCGAGCTCTGTGTCACCAGATAAAAAAAAATAAGCCTGCGTTTAAAAGAATAAAGAAAACAACAGTTCATTTTTGTCTGTCAACACACTGACCATGTAATCTCTATATTAAGAATGGAACACACGTATTTGAAGATACTGGTAGCTTGCGTCCTATGCGAACAAATGCTACATGTATGTTGTACATACGGGTCCCTGTGCTCATAACACTACACAGTTATGTTCTAATGATTACTATATATACGGGTCCCTGTGCTCGTAACACTATATACACTTATGTTATATAATGATGACAATATACGGTTCCCTCTGCTCATAACACTATACAGTTATGTTGTAATTATGGCTATACACGGATCCCTGTGCTCGTAACACTTTACAGCTATGTTGTAATTATGGCTATACACGGGTCCCTGTGCTCGTTACTGTTATGTTGTAATGATGACTATATATACGGGTCCCTGTGCTCATAACACTATACAGTTATGTTGTAAAGATGACTATATATACGGATCCCTGTGCTCGTAACACTATACAGTTATTTTGTAATTATGGCTATACACGGGTCCTTGTGCTCGTTACTGTTATGTTATATAATGATGTCTATACACGGGTCCCTGTGCTCGTAACACTATATAGTTATGTTGTAATTATGGCTATAAACGGGTCCTTGTGCTCGTTACTGTTATGTTGTAATGATGACTATATACACGGGTCCCTGTGCTCGTAACACTATACAGTTATGTTGTAATTATGGCTATAAACGGGTCCCTGTGCTCGTAACACTATACAGTTATGTTGTAAAGATGACTATGTACAGGTCCCTGTGCTTGTTACACTAAACAATTATGTTGTAATGATGACTATTTTACGGGTCCCTGTGTAAACTCAGTTTTCTGCTGCAGGCATCTTCTGGCCACCGTGCATTTATCTAAATAAGTATTTATCTGACATTTATAATACCGGTACACTTTGTTGGGAGTATTAACTATTTATAAATAAATATCGATACATTTGATCGATACGGCATTTACAGTTTTAATATACATAGGTATAACAGATTAACTTTGTACTTAGTTTGAGACCTACCTAGTCCTGGTACTGCGAAGTTCATCAGACAGCACGCGATTGCCATGGGGATGGGAAGTATGGGTACGATGTATTCATCGATGACCACTTCTGGTTGCTGCTCGTCCTCCCCAGAGGGTGGGGCTGTCAACATAGCCATATCTCTCCGTGTCAGTCGCCGGCATGTATCAGATCCCTGTCGTGTGCTCTGTAGACAAGGAGGCTGTCCATGATGACCGTTATTGCAACTATGTAGTGCTTGTAAGGGAACCGGATTTGACGTAGGCGGTTCCGTATGTACAGGAACATGAGGTGGCGCTGGTTGCTCTGCCTGGCCACATTCCACGGGACTTTCGGACCGCACTAGCTGTTCTAAGTCCACACGTCTCTGATTTCTAGGTACAAGTCGATTTTGTTCACTTCCCGCCAATTCTTGCTGTTCGTTTTCCGCCAATTGAGGCTGCATTTGGTGTCTCTGCAGCTGTGTCTGGGATAAACGGTTGTCAGGTTCGACCTGTTCATCACAATCGTCTCTGATCAGGCACGGATCACTTAGTCGTAATCCCCCTACCTGTGAATCTTCCACCTGTCCAAACGGTCCGAGGGATTGTAGGGACTGATACGCTCTCTCCTCCTCGTGCGCCGGAGATCGCTGCGGATACTGAGCATGATGAGGTTGCCAGGGGTTTCCCGCCATTAATTATGAATAGAATACTGCAAATCCCATAGCAGACCTTGCCGAATAGATCTATCTGTACAGCTACATACAAATCAATCGCTACACATACACCGCCATATCGGTTGTCTAAGTACGATATCACTGGTCGGCTCGCGTGGAACAGCCTGTTAAATACTTAAACAAACAATCTATAGTGGACAAATATCATTTTTTGTCCGTAAAATTAGTTATCCATATCCGGAAATGGAATAACAGTTGATGTATAAAGTTTACGTAATGTACTATAGAATATCCGAAAGGAGAACAATCCACGAAGAACAACAGATTATAGGATTATATACTATATGTGAGGTGAAAACAAGGCCATTACATTGTACATACATCGAGCGAGACTGATTACAAACTGTGTACACAGGTATTATAACTCCGACATGTCACGCTCTAGGGAAGAATTGTTATCAAAATACGTCTAGTGTTCAATCAGGGTCGGATTTTAAATTTGAGTAAAGTTTAAATCCCCATACATACCAGTCAATACACAAGGGGCTAGTGTGCTTACAGAAACATTTACGTAGTAAAAAAACCTCGAAATGTCAATTTCGTTGTTTATTTGTAAAGTCAGTATCGTTGTTAATTTCAATATATATGTAGATTACAGTCAAACTGAAGCCTGCAATTTTTTACTAATTTTTTTTTTTTTAAAAGTAATCGTATATAATTTTATATTGCTTTTCGTAACGTAACTATAATTGGTTATAAAGACGTAAGCTAACAGAGGTTCTACGGGTAATTATACCTGTAGTACACAGGTGTTAAATATCGCTGGAATGTTCTAGTTATAGAGTTAAGTTACCGACTGAGTGTAATACGACACCATTGTCTTGTCAAGTACAATGACACAAGACTTGTTAGTCCAACTTATATCTATATTTACATCATTTCAATGAATATGTCAAACTCGTTTCAGTTGGTTTAAACTACAATGTAACGGTCGTTTTAAATTCATTCATTTTTTATAGCCCCTAAATTTTGAAAACAAAAGGTCTCGATTGAGTTGAACCAGGGGTGTATTACACCCTGACAGCACCGTGGCTTGAAAGGGCTAAATGTCAAAGTTATACGTGTGTACACGCGAATCGTTCTATAAACATATAGGCACATGCATATATCAGTTTAAAAGAAATTTATATACTTAGGCATTAGTGTACATAATTAAACTAAATAAAACAGAAAAGCCAATAAGAAACAACTAGCACAGACCATAAAAGTCTTACAACTGAAATTAAGAACGATTTAAGATTCAGTATTTAGTGAGGAGGCGGGGCGGGGCAGTTGAAAAAGACGAAGAAATGTTCTATTTCCATTTCCGTCCTTTCTTATCATTCCATTTCCTCTTTTAATAAATTGTTTCGCTTGTGAGAAAGATTTAATGTTTTTTACTTTTCTCTTCTCACATGTTCAAAATATTGGAAGATAACTAGGATACTATCTTACATAATAAAAGGAGGAGGAGGAGGAGGAGATGTGTCAAAGACTTTTTGTGCAATTTATCTGGAATATGTAGCTGACTGTGTTGACAAATCTTTAGTTAGAGACGTTTAAGATATTTGTCATAGAGTCATTTGACTCATACAGTGCACGCTGATTTTTTTAATAGTTAACAATACTTTCATCATAATATCATTTCGGTTTTACTATAGAATTGTACCGTATCGGTATTTCTAATATCTAAAAAAAAAAAAAGCGACGGGTGTGTATGCGCCTCGGATGTTTGAATCTATCGTTTTACATCAAAACTACATGCACAGCCTTATCTTACTCGTGTGCTATCTCACAACTGTTTTTCTTCTTCTTCTAAATGCCACAAGGATGACAACAATAGAACGCATTCACACGAAATTCAACTCAATAGACGATGATGTGTCTACCGAAACATACGAGTTATTTCCCGTTGAACGATCAGCATACGTTTTATCATTTTATTGACGGTGTTGAAAATTAATTAAACCGCCTTTGAAATAGATCATTGTTAACGGTACCTACAAGAATCACATTTTTATCACCAATCGAATGATAAATGGGAAATTTGTACAGGATAAGGTCTCGCACTGTATCATGTAAAGGTGTGTACGTAACGTTTTGTCTTATTTCTTGGTCTAAATCTTTCTATTGTCAAATTATAGAGAGGTAACATATTTTTGTATGTTGTAGTCGGAAGTTTGGTATACAGTATAGCTATCAGCGTTACGGGGTTGTAACTGCGAGATTCTGAGACAAAAGGGGTAGTAGAGATTATTGTGAATTTTGCATTTTCTCCTAGATATTCTTCTCTTACCCAATTTCGGAGTACATAGATTCTCTACTCCTATAAAAGGTAACGTTTCCAGTTGGTAGTCATAGTGAAAATGGGTTTTTTGAACGACGCAGTCGCAGATGATGTCTATTTTCTATTCTGTCCCAAAATCTTGCCACCGAGATATTACAACGCTGCGCATGTAATACATGTAGCAAGAAGCAGGGGGAGTGTTTAAGCTTTTTGTTGATATCGATTGCACTGATCATTGATTTAAGGGAAACAACTCTTGTTAGAGACTTGAATGGTACAAGAAATAAACGTTCAATTGTCGCGTCTTACATTTATGACAGGAATGCAGATTCCTAGCATTTATGACAGTTGCATCAAATGAGCTTATCAACATAATTATATACAAATGATTACACGTTTTAGACCTCATCTCTAGGAAACAGAAACTTTCCATATCCCTCGTTTTACACATTTATGATTGTTGCGATATAAAATAAAACACTTATGTACGAACTGTTGAAAAAAACTTAATGATTGTTGTTACCACGGACTCAAATATAATTCGTGGTAACAACAATCATTAAGTTTTTTTCAACAGTTCGTACACCGTACATAAGTGTTATATTTTATATCGCAACAATCATAAACGTGTAAGACGAGGGATATGGAAAGTTTCTGTTTCCTAGAGAGGAGGTCTAAAAAGCAATATTCCGACCACAATAATACGGATTGATTGACAAAAACCACTGTATAAACCTTTTCTCACAATATGAGATTATTCTTACAATACAGACTGCACAGATTTATATACAAATATGTATACATAACGTTCTAAAATGCCAACAAATTGAAAGGAATATCAGAACACCGACTATCTCTATCCATCTCTCTCTCTCTCTCTCTCTCTCTCTCTCTGAATATCAGAACATCGATTCTCTCTCTCTCTCTCTCTCTCTCTCTAGAAATATCAGAACATCGATTATCTCTATCCCCCTCTCTTTCTCTCCCTCTCTCTTCTTCTTCTTCTTCTCTCTCGCCCTTTCTCAGTATCTAAAGAGACATGTTTCTCAACGGCGTATCAACTTGGCTAGGTATGGACAGATTTTTCAGACTTTTTAAATCCGTTATTGCTCTGAACCCCACTGTTCTGTACAATTTCACACAGTTCCTGTCAATCTGTTGTACACGACTGAATTGTATGGTGAACCTCCACAGAGAAGATGCAAGCTTGGCATTAGTCTTCTTAACGCACCAGTAACAGTCGTCCCGCACATTTTTGTGTAACGTTATCGATTTTACATGTTGAAGTATTTGTGTCGTAAATTTTAAGTTTAAAAAATTAAACATTATTTGAGTCTTCTGTATAGGATCGTTTGAGAAACTCTCATATTGAAGAGTTCTGATGTTTTGGGGGTATTGTTTATGTAACCGGCTGGCTAATATGATATCTGACAGCATTTGGTTACAATGTAAAGATGCTTTGGATTCTATCGACGACCACCCTTTCTCATCAATCTTAAGTTCGGACAACAATTTCCCTCTCGGATCCCGGAGTAAGTGTATAACTTTAAGTCCTGGCAGCCATTTTAATAACAACTCCACTGACGTCATCTCTAAGCGAATAGTCTTGATGATTAAAACTTTCCTGGTTCTGCAAGGTTTTTGAAGAAGTGCCAAACAACCATTTATGGAGGTTGTACGTTGCTTAATTGTTGGAACCTTGGCCCTTTCAATTCCACTACTGACACATCTATAGTAGTTTTCGTAAGCATTGGAGTAGGTCAGCATTATGCTCGTAAGATCTTGTACATTGATTTTCTGAAAATCACAGGTGAACCAGCGATAGAGCATATCCGCCATTACAAAGTGGACGTCGGTTTTGTCATACAATCTGTAAATTGAAGGAATGTAGTTACAGACTGAAGTTTATCTTTTTTGCACTTCTTTTAAAATTGTTGTCAATGAAGTTCAAAGAATCGCTTGAAAATAACTAACTGAAAAAAGAGACGGTAACATTGAAAAAGCGATACCCACTAACCTTTTTGTTCCGTTGAGAAAGGTAACACTGCTTGCGTTCTTGACATCTTCTTCAATATATCTTAGTGGTTCAAATGCGTATGTACTGTTGTCATAGTGTTGTAATATGTCTCCAATAAGGGTGGATCCACTGCGCATGTACGTTACGACTAGGACATGGGTGGGATCTGTACCTAAAAATATACCACTTTAATACAAAGTATCAAACTACATTTGTTACTATAGTAACAGATATACAAAGTATCAATATTCACCTGTTACTATAGCAACACATCATAATATACAAAGTATCAATCTACATCTGTTACTATAGTAACACATGTAGATTGATACTTTGTATATGTGTTACTATAGTAACAGATATACAAAGTATCAATCTATATCTGTTACTATAGCTATTAATTATAGGTACACATGTACAAAGTATCGGTATACAATGTACATAGTAACATACGTACATTGTATTCCGATACTTTGTACATGTGTACCTATAATTAATAGCTATAGTGACAGATGTAGATTGATACTATGTATATGTGTTACTATAGTAACAGATATACAAAGTATCAATATTCGCCTGTTCCTATAGCAACACATCATAATATACAAAGTATCAAACTACATTTGTTACTATAGTAACAAATATACAAAGTATCAATATTCACCTGTTACTATAGCAACACATCATAATACACAAAGTATCAATCTACATATGTTACTATAGTAACACATATACAAAGAATAATCTACATCTGTTACTGTAGTAACACATATACAAAGAATCAATCTACATCTGTTACGATAGTAACACATATACAAAGAATCAATCTACATCTGTTACGATAGTAACACATATACAAAGAATAATCTACATCTGTTACTGTAGTAACACATATACAAAGTATCAATCTACATCTGTTACTATAGCTATTAATTATAGATACACATGTACAAAGTATCGGTATACAATGTACGTATGTTACTATGTACACTTAGACATATACATGTAGATATAAAACACGCTAATATACATCTGTTACATGTACCATAGCAACACATTATAAATATTAAAAAAACACCAGTATTCATCTGTTACTGTCGACTCCGTTACTAAACCAACATATTATAGATACAAAAGAAAAATCAATACGAATGTTTTACTATGCATTATAGATCTTAAGCGATTCAAAATATATATGTTACAATAACCGTTCATTATAAATATGTAAAAATATATGATAGATATATATGTATATAAGAACCAAGATATAACCTGTCTATAGAGACCATGTGTCTTTAAAGATAGGGTTTGGTCGTTCCCTTTGATCGTCTCTTTAGACAAGTGTACTTGAATACAAATTGAAGCTGAAAAAAACGTTACGAATAAGAATAACATACCTTCATTAGTTTGATTTTGTGGCCTTGGTAGACTTGACAAATTCAAATTACCTGAAATGAGACAATCACATTTTAGTTACCAGTCCCCAGTAGCTAATTAAAGAATCATTTGCAAAGTCAATTATCCTTTATAAATTTAGGATATATTGTAATGAAGTTTCAAACTCAAATAACTGCTCATGAAAATTTGTTCGAAATATCTTTTCTCTGTGTTGTTTTCCTTTTATGACTCTGAAATCTCAATGAATTCTGATAAACTAAAAACAAATGTTATCATTAAGACACATTATTAACGAGTTCACTGATGTAAATCAGTTTCCTTTGTCAACATGTCTATTTTTTCTTCATGAGGGTTATCATAAATGTATACCGGATATTCTACGCGGTCACGTTAGTGAAGACCAACATTAAATGTCCAAAATCAATATCTAAGTGTTGTGAGGGGGACGCTAATTAACATCAACACTGCAATTAAAACATGCATTAGAACACATCTTTAACCACTGGGTTTTCATCAGGTACTCCGGTTTCCTCCCACACAAAGACCCGCGCGCGCTAACATCCGGGCCAACAAGAGTGATTTATATAAGTTGAATACCTTGTTTCATAATTGTTGTAAAATATATAAAGTTTATATTTGACTACTGAAATTATCATCGTCATTGTGGCTCACCTGTCCACAGTTTATTTGTAATAAGTTGGGTGGAATTTGTATTGTGATGCTAATTGATTAAAACACTAAACAAGCCTGATCTTAATGTACAATAAAAGAATGCACCTCGTTCATTTTGCCACCTCGCTTGCCGCCAACATATTTCAAGGTTCTTATTAGTTGTTTCTCTGGAGAATTCATGTTTACGTTTCTCTCAATTTTCTCGCCAAACCCCTTATAACGCCAGATGTTGCCAGTATAAAGAGAGTTGTTATATTGATAAAGGTACATTGTATTTTAATAAATACCTAAATAGGTTGAGTGGACAATATGTTTAATACAGTCTTTTTTAAAACTAAACATGCTTGCTATACATGTATGAATAAATAAGGTATACATATCAAACCCCGTTTTACTGCCAGCTTTTGTTAAATGATATATTGGCAGTATAAAGAGATTTCGCGGTACATAAAGAGAGGTGTGTCCAGTTTACATGTTCACAGTGTGTATGTTGAGTAAAAACTAAAAAGGGGACCTTGAGATATGTTGCTCTTAAACAAAGTAGAAAATTATACGAATGTCAATTTAGCGATGGTTGCTGTAGGTACAAGGGGACAAAGGTGGGGAACTCCGTTTATTAGTTCTCTGGGCTATTTATAAATTCTGTCGGATTTTGCTTGTAATTGTGGGAGAATGTTGTGATGCCCGATTGCAAGTTTGACACAATTGTTGTTCTATTTTCGTGAAAATGTCCTCAAAGTTAATCAGTACTCTTGTAATAATCTAAAATGTTAATTTTGACATGCTAAAAATAGCACACACGCCAAGTAGCACACACTACAATGCGTGTATCCATACCACGAGAAGAAATTTAATATAGTTAATATAGGACTAAAAGACATTATAAATGTTTTAAAAACATCACTTACCTTTTATTTCGAATCTTGGCACAAAATCTGGCCAAAGATAGTACACATTCCCGAAGGATTGGAGAGTCACGGTTATGTATACTAGCACTGTTAAGCTCAGAAATAGAAACCAACATCTACTAAGATTAAAAGCAGCCATCTTGTACTTTCAACTTTTGAAAGAATACCGTGTTATTCATTAAAAAACCCATTCTTGTCTATAATTAGATAGCGACGATGACCAAGTCAGGCGCTCACAACGTTAACAGAGATAGCCCAATTAAAATACACGAAGCGCCAGTCAATACATTTTTCTCTCAATAGATGTATACAAAGGAATGGTACCTTAGTGGAACTGGCGCTATGGGGTATACATTGTAAGTATTGTCTCGTAAGTCAGTATGGCTGGGCATATTTTTGCATATGTGAATTTTTATTATGTAAGTGATGTGTTATGTAAAATATGTGTGACACTTAAATAAAATATACTTTATTATTATTATTATTATATTAGTTACAAGTATTTACAGACATGGTCATCATTTTTTGTTTCTGCTCAGGTAAAGGGCATGGTATTTCTCCTAATACACTGCAAACACAGTCCAAAGTATTTCGTTCGATGTTCACACTATTGTTTAGAGAAACATATGCATCACGAATATCGAAAATATTATTCGTGTTATATTTGATTTTTGTAATCAAATAATATTTCTAGTACCATTTCTGTGAAGTTTCAAAGTATTAGCTATTTAAAGCAGTTTTATTAAACGATCTCATATGAAATATATAATTGTTTTACAAAGATGTTATAATTTATACAAGCGGTGGTTTTTACTGATCCAATTGTCTCAATCAAGGTCCACGCCCATTTGATCAGTTTAAACGCCGGTATTGTATACTTAACTAGGTACTGTTAGATCAATGTAACAGAGTTGACATATAGTTTGTCTTGTATAGACCTATCTAGTGTCTTAATAAATATCTGACTATTAGGAATGTCATTGAAGAGGTGTTAATCCCAAAGATAAATTTGTTTATGGATTGAGTCAAGCATACATAAACATTATTAACGAGACGACATAAGCCTAGGTATTCACGTGATATTTCCTAAAAGTCATCGATAGAGTATCGGAGTAGCAATACTATCTGACCAAATACTTAAAGACATCGGACCGGATATCAATATTTGATTTCAAACCCTGCCGTCAGCCATCTCAAACTCTGGATTAACCCCCTGTGATGTTGAATTCTTTAAAGAAAACCTGAATTATTAAAATTTATTATTATAATACTATTTCACATGATGTAGTGAGACCTGTTGAAATCTGAACGCCTCATGAATCAATATTTCCATTCGGATTTGACCATTTTTCTGATCACAACGTTTGAGTAGTGACACTGTTCACGAGATACATGTCACAGTTTATTCGTTTTACTTAGAAACTAACCGATACAACTATGATGTTTGTATTTCATATAAATAAGGGGTTCTGTTTAACAGTAGTTAAGATCTATTCAGATTGCCAACTTTTCGGCCCCTATAGCGTCACTGATAAGTCCTAGAAGGACGAAACACCTGTATGATGCAGTGTGATTAAATTTTGGCTCACTTTATCAATTACCTTTAAAAGTGCATCACATGTCCCAATTTTAATACATGCCAACTTTGTTGAATGCTTGTTCAGTTAAATTTCCATAGTGCCGGGGCTGAGGCATTTTTATTAAAAAATGCGGTATGGTGTGGTTATACGGCCATGGATTATTTCCATTGACATATCAAGTGAATGTCACATTTAAGCTTAATTTAGAATATTGTTCAGAAACGAATATTTACACATAAACAATATATCAGTAGTCATAGACAGACACGAAACAACATTGATAAGAATTTTCTGTTTGATCTACGATAGTTGAACCTGTCCCAGGTATTCACCAACACCGGGTTTCGCTATGTACTCTAGTGTCCCTGGTTTTTGACTCAATCGTGTAGCGAGTTCTATCGTGAACACGTACCTCGATTGTTAACGAGCACGATTATCTATACAAGTTTATATCAGTGGAAGATATATCAATGTCATACTCGAACATATTAAACATAATGAAATCACGATCACGTACGCCTTTAAGCAAATACACTAGTTGTTTAGTAATTAAATGAGTTTGTTTCCCTTTTCTTCAATAACTTCAAATAATGTGTGCCAAAATGTTTGCTTGATTGAACAACTTTCTATGGGATCAATTGACTTAAAATACACCAGACAAAAATAGATTTGAGTATTTTTAGCGCCTGGTGTTTATAAACGACTCCATTAAGAAAATTCGGTATTTTTCCAAAGAACTTGTTTTAACATTTATCATGACATATCAACAATCATTGAAAAATGGGATTAAAAATGCTTCATAAACATATAATAGAAAATGTAATAACTAAGGTTTCTTTATGAAATATTCTATTTATAGATCAATGCTGTGACCCTAAATCATGTTTTGTTTAAATTGTACACATGGAGATTTGCATAAATTTCCACAGTCCTGTCTATATACTAAATTTCATACCACCAATGTTACTGAGCTGAGCGTCAATCACGTCTGAAATCGACACTACACAACTTTCTTACTTCTAGTCGATACGCCTGAATAATGGCAGGCCGTCTGGTTCGTAATTTTACTCTGATAATATCAGTAGGATCTTGTGGCATCCTCGGGTTGTTGTATTTTACGCACGTGTTCAGTAGAAACACAAATGAAGGTAAGAATTTTACTTATTTGAAATTGTCATCTTAAAACAGAGTTATGTGATATCGTTTTTCTGGTAACTTACGTCCAGTTAGTTTTTTCGTTTTAGTTGTAGTTTCTGTCTACTAGTCTGAAATCATGTATTTCGGCTAAATTCGAGGATTCCTTCTTTAAAACAACAGTTCGTTTGGCATACTTGTAAACATTTCTTGATCAGGAGTAGCCCCAAAAATGAATGAAAAATTAACCTGACATGAAAATTTATTATTCAACATATCATATTTTACACTGTATAATAAGCATTTTAAACTTACCAGTTAAATTTTATTGAGATTTGCACACACAATAAAATTGCGTAGATAATTGAAAACAAAGTTCATTATTTTCTGGAACATAATTCGAAAGAAATGGCATATTTCTAATTTGTATATTGATAGCTATTACATTGAATGATCAAAAGAAATATGAAATACGAAAAGGCCTATTTGAGAATAAAGTTTGGAAATGTAGAAAGCCAAAGAATATTACCATATGACCATTTCGTCTATTTAAGACTCTTCAGTGGCCATTATCGATACTCCAGGGGTTACGCTCTCTTCTCTACACCCCTGGAATATGTCATAGCAAAATTGAAGGCTCAATGTGCAGCACCTTGTGGACGAGACGAGAAGACTAGTTAGATCCTTGGATGAACATCAAAACAATCCCGCGGCCGTGTAACGGTTAAAAATGGCTGCCTTTGAAGTCGGGTGTCGCTCCTCTGTAATATTTAAAGGACAGGTATCAGCCTAGCGATTGGTCATTTTTTTCACCCGAGACCAATCAAATAGCTAATTTTGCGCCTTCGATTTTGCCATGACATATTCCAGTGATGCAGAGAGCAAAAGTGGGCGTAACCTCTAGAGTATCGAGGATGATCAGTGGTATGAAAGTTCATGTCGAAATTTCCCGAAATATAGGAAGAAATACAAGAAAAATGAAAGGTGCTAATGAAAATGACATCTTTTAGGAGGTTACAATTTGTCAACGTATGGGGAAAAAAAAGGGATAATTTCGACGAAAACGTTATGATAGCAGCCACATGCGGCGCATGAAACGGATACATTTCTGGAATAGATTGTTAGAATCTCAGGTTTTATCGCTCACAGTGACGTCTTTCCCTTTGGTTTGATTGATATTATTGTCGTTCCAATCGGACCTTTTGTGCGGTCCCTGTATGTTGATACTGTGTTTTATCAAATTTATACTACCTATGTGGGCTTGTCAAGTGTTGTGATTTCTATTTCAGCCATGTGTTTTAACGAATCGCCACAGTCCGTGCGTGCACGTAATCTGTTCCAGCCTCACAGAAAGGTATCGCACGTGCTAATTGTCACCCATCCCCGCAGCGGTTCAACCTTAACTGGCGACATTATTCAGAAGTCCGGAAGCAGCTTCTATGCGTTTGAACCACTCCGATTCGCAGGAGAGTCGATACAACTTGGACAACCCGTCATCTATCTCAACGGCACACAGCGGTACGTCTTTTAGGATTTATCATCCTGTAATTTACTTGTATATCAGTCAGGAAGACGATCACGAACTCCACTTTCTGCCATAACCTGCGTATGTTATAGCGTTTCCATTGTTTATTGATACGCATAACATACATTGCATACGAAGCATTGCTATTATGAGTCCCCGTCCCACTGCAAGCAAAATAATAGAGAGTTCAGCTGAGGGGTTTCGTTTCCACAGTAACCGCCCTTTTATTTAATGGGAGATACTGTAATTGGTGCCAAATGTGATGCAGAAATCGCATTATTCACGAACTCCTACCTTTTGTTTTGTTTTGACATTAAATTGCGATTGTGTCTCTATAATAAATAACTTTTATTTAAATCTTCAATTTCAAACGGGTATTACAGTTTCAGACGGTATAACCTTGTATGTTTTTCTCTATTTTTCTTTCTTTCTTTTTTTTTTTATCTTTCTAGTGTGTACAACAATTCGAGAGATGCAGTGTGGGTTGAAGCGGACATATTGTACAGGTGGTTCACTTGTGACTTTTGTCGGGTCAACATCCAAGATCTAAAAAGCAAATTCATTGAGTCCTTTTCGACCAATCTACGAGAATATGCCGTTTGTCTGAACCGCTATCGTTTCAATCCTTTGCCCCGCTGTTTATCTCAATTACGTAAAACGTGTGAACAGGCAACAGTCCGATCTATCAAAACAGTACGCCTGCAAAATTTGGAATCCATACCGATTCTGTTGCGGCGATTGCCAAGCCTGAAGGTCATATATTTGGTGAGAGATCCTAGAGGAAGACTTGCGTCTCAGGCAGCCTTAGATCCAACGGAATGGAACATCGTGGAAGATCAAGCGGAGACGATGTGTACACAAATGTACCAAGAATTCAGATACATTGCTAAAATATGGAAACATCTTGCTGGACGACTGAAAATTCTGATGTATGAAAAATTTGCAAAGGATCCAATAGACGTGTCAAAAAGACTGTTTGAGTTTTTAGATATTGATTTTACTGAATATTTGCAATTTTTTGTCAAAACCGTCACCCACGTTGACTTGGATAAGACGGGATGTTATTGGTGTACGAAAAGAACAAACTCACGGGAGACAGCCACCAGGTGGCGTAGGGGAATTGAATATAGCCATGTTAAGAAAATAGATGATCAGTGCAGCGATGTGTACAATGAACTAGGCTACATGAAAATTAGAAATGAACATCACCTACGAAATATGTCCTTATCTATAATAGGGAAGAGCAACCATCCATATCTATACGTATGAACAATATTGTAGATCTTCATTACTACATATTTATTAAATAAATTGTATCATATTAAAATACTATTTTTTATTGTGATGTATTAATCTTTATTACATTTTTACCAGTTAAATATCAGGAATCATCAATTTGATAAAAACTTATATCTTAGCTTCAAGATATACGAAATGTTATTTCTTATATCAAGGCGTTTAAGAGTGGCTTATGTTAGCTAGATGGGGCGCTCTATCAAATGTTGTGTATTATTAGTATTATTATTATTATTTTAACATGTAAAGATATCAGTTTTAGTATTCAGTATCAGAATTGTACTTTTTATTCACTCGTACGGCATATTATACTGATATTTTCATTCGCGCCTCGCGCTCGTGAAAAATATCGATATTCTGCTATACTCGTGAAATATATATATAGTATTCAATTAAAAGCCATGAAATATTCCCTATTTACTGTAGGGGGTATTTTACGTGTGTAACCTCTTTGATCAAGTGACAAGATAGAGGATTCGACATTACTCAGGGAATATAAACTATGGTCGCGTCAGCAAAATAATATGATGATATCTTCTGTTGTTGATGTATCCACGTTACTTGCTGTTTACTTTTGGTGTCTGTGCTAAAGATTCATTTATTTATTTCTTGTTTTGCATTTTATTTATTTATTTATTTATTCAATTTATATTTTACCGCAGTAGAAGTACATTGTAATGTCTCAAATTACAAGAGCAGGATATTAAGAACACTTTTCATCTGGCAAAGATTTGATTTGATACAATTTACAATAGTGTTTACTTTGTATTAAATAGTTTGCCCATTTACTTAAATAATTATACTTATAAATTTTCAACATTACGGGATTGTTACACTTAACCATCACATCTTTTAGGTTGAACATTCACTTACATGTTATTAAAGGAAGAATAAGGATTTATTCCACACTCCCACCCACACTCACTCTCTCTCCCACTCACTCACTTACTCACTCTCTCTCCCACACTCCCACCCACATTCTCTCCCACACTCTATTTCCCACACACACTCACTCTCTCGCACTCACTGTCTCCCACTTACTCACTCTCTCTCCCACCCACACTCTCTCTCCCACACTCTCTCTCCAACACACACTCACTCTCTCCCACTCACTGTCTCCCACTTACTCACTCTCTCTCCCACCCATACTCTCTCCTTCACTCACTCTCTCCCACACTCACTCTCTTCCACTCACTTACTCACTCACTTACTCACTCTCTCTCTCTCCCACACTCTCTCCCACACTCTCTCTCCAACACTCTCTCTCCCACCCACACTCACTCTCTCTCCCACTCACTCACTCTCTCTCCCATCCACACTCACTCTCTCTCCCTCAATTACTCACTCACTCTCTCCTACACTCACTCTCTCTCCCACATACTCACTCTCTCCCACACTCACTCACTCTCTCCCATCAACACTCTCACTCACTCTCCCACTCACTCTCTCCCCCACACTCTCCTACAATCACTCTCTCCCACACACACTCACTGTCTCTCCCACACTCACTCTCTCCCACTCTCTTACTCACTCTCTCTCCCACACTCCCACCCACACTCACTCTCTCTCCCACATTCACTCTCTCCCACTCACTCTCTCCCACACACTCACTCCCCAACCCACACTTACTCCCACTCCCACCCTCCCACCCACACTCACTCTCTCTCCCACTCACTCACTCTCTCTCCCATCCACACTCACTCTCTCTCCCTCAATTACTCACTCACTCTCTCCCACACTCACTCTCTTCCACTCACTTACTCACTCTCTCCCACACTCACTCACTCTCTCCCATCAACACTCTCACTCACTCTCCCACTCACTCTCTCCCCCACACTCTCCTACAATCACTCTCTCCCACACACGCTCACTGTCTCTCCCACACTCACTCTCTCCCACTCTCTTACTCACTCTCTCTCCCGCACTCCCACCCACACTCACTCTCTCTCCCACATTCACTCTCTCCCACTCACTCTCTCCCACACACTCTCCAACCCACACTTACTCCCACTCCCACACTCCCACCCACACTCACTCTCTCTCCCACATTCACTCTCTCCCACTCGCTCTCTCCCACACACTCACTCTCACACTCTCTCCCAAACACTCTCACTCACTCTCTCTCCTTCACTCTCTCTCTCCCACTCACTTACTAACTTTCCCACACTCAGTCTCTCCCACACTCCCACCCACACTCTCTCTCTACCACCTACACTCCCACACTCCCACCCACTCTCCCACACTCTCTCTCTACCACCTACACTCCCACACTCCCACCCACCCTTATCAATTCACTCTCTCCCACCCACACTCACTCACTCTCTCCCCCACCAACACTCACTCTCTTCCACCCACTCCGTCTTCTATTAGTGCTTATTGTGAAATTGCTCATGTAGCTGAACGTGTAGTATGTGTACACGTAACAATTTACAGTCGCTTCACAACAACAAAATTATGCTAAAAGGCCGATCAGGGGTTAGGGGAGCTTTGATTACACATCAGCGCATAGTTTGGCTCTTCCGTGTTTGAAACAACAACAGCAATGCTAGGAAATTATACAGTTTTTATATCAGATACATTCTTTCTACACAGGTGTGCAGTTTTTATAACATTAAATGTAGCACTACAACAATTTTCTTACTCTCGGTCATTTTGAAGGGAGACATTTGAGCGCGTTCTGAACAATTGCATATATATTATGTTTTAAAATGGGAATGGAAACACTAAAATAAGATAAATATTTGCTATTTCCAAGTTGAGTGAGATGGTAGGTAACTCTTTATTGTTTGATTTTATATCAAGTAGACCAATTACAGTTAATCCCTCCCGACTACCGCTACTAATCCCTGTAATTATCGCTATCATTATTGATTACTACTCAGATCAACGGTCTACCGACTATCTCCTAAAATGCATTATTTTTTTGATGAAGAACGCTTTAAAGACTACATAGTCTATGTGTTACTGGAATTTGTGCCCCCACCCCAACCATTTTCACTTCAACACCACCAATATGGGGTTGGGGTTCAATCTATACACCGTGTCTTGAAAACAGTTGAGATCTCGACAGTTTAACCCCACAATGCTGAATAATGAAAAAAAATGGCATAAAGACACATTGGGACCTTGGAATCATTTAGTTAAAAAGCGTAGATCTAGCTCCACTGGGGTCTGAGGTGATACATGTATGCCAAAAAGGGGAAGCTGGGTGATAAATATTAGGAAGCCTACTCCTCTAGACCACTCTGAGGCATTCCTGGGATGAGGAGTGTTGTATGAGGACGGTATGAACTGTCGTAAAATTTGTACTGTGTGTAATATGTAATACTATTTTAACAATGTGTACATGGGACAATAGCACGATATTTTCCTGTCTCGTAAGCGTATAGCGACCACAGGGGTCTGTATGCACGATACTTGCATCCCCTATAGAACATGGCTCTTAGCTACCACCCCTTTAGTACATATATATAGCTACCACAACGCATATAGCATGATCTTTGCCTCCTCTATATTACATAGCCACCACAGGAAACTGTAGCACAATCATGGTCTCCTCTGTAGTATACAGCTACCATAGATGACTGCACCACAATCACTGCCTCCCCTAGAGTATATAGCTACCACAGGGGACAGTAGTACGATAATTGCCTCCCCTGAGTATATCAAAACTACCACAGGGGACTGTAGCACGATAATTGCCTCCCCTAGAGTATATAGCTATCACATGGGACTGAAGCGCGATCATTGCCTCCCCTACAGTATATAACTACCACAGGGGACAGTAGCACGATTTTTGCCTTCTCTAGAGTATATAGCTACAAAAGAGGACTGCAGCACGATCTTTGCCTCCCCTGTAGAATACAGTTACATAGAGGATTGTAGCACGATCTTTGCCTCCCCTGTAGTATACAATTACCATAGAGGACTGTAGTACGATCATTGTCTCCCCTAGAGTATATATATAACAACCACAGGGGACTGTAGCACGATCTTTGCCTCCCCTAAAGTATATACATAACTACCACAGTAGACTGTAGCACGACCATTGCCTTCCCTTGAGTATACATATAACTATAACAGGGGACTGTAGCACGATCATTTCCTCCATTAGAATATATACATAACTACCACAGGGGACAGTAGTACGATTTTTGCCTCCCCTAGAGTATATAGCTACCACAGGGTACTGTAGCACGATCATTGCC